TTGACTCCACACCGTATTTTTTGTACAAGTATAGAATTTTCAGCACGTGATGCCGGTAGCCCAAATTTTTCAGGCCGGCAATTGATATCAGGTGTGCATCGGCAGGGAATCGAATCCCGGACCATGTTCTTGATCGGCGAGAGTCCTAATCGCTGTGCCACCGACGCCTTTAGATGTTGCTTGATTAGGGTACAGCAGTACGAAAGAATGTACCTTACTCCAACTTTATAGCATAATTATGTACATTTAAGTAAGAAACGTAATAATAATCTCGAGACACCCAATAAAAAACCGAAAATTATTAATATTAAACAATTTCGTAATTCTATACCAATATGCTTCATGAGATGACGTTTGTTAACTTAATCAAGCTTAAGGGATATCATTTTTCAGGTCTACTTGTCACTCAGTTTTAACAAATTATGAATGTTGCAATCCATATTAATAGCAGTTCCCAACTTGACAACAATAATCTGAGATTTGATTAGATACAAAGATAGTCATTTTTAAAAAAGTAATTAACAATAATCTCTGGATAACTTTTATCCGTAAAAAATGTCACTCATTTAACTTCTTGTCCTTGAAATTTTTAATTCCCTTTTCCACCATCTTGTGTTTACACCCTCATATGAATCTGCCACAGATTAACCTGTTCATCTGGAAGTCTACTTCAAGCTCAGTAACCAAATACTATCATCAGCACTCACACGATAAGTGTGGCTCTTAGCCTGATACACAAAAGATCCATTCCGGATAATTTGGTTTGAATAACAGAAACTTACTGCTAACAGGTGCCAGTCAAAGTTACCGTATTAAGTATTCTTTTGAAGAATAAAGTTTTGTTACTTTGAAGTGTTAGATATCCTGTGAAGATTACTACAAAGTTTCCTTAATGAATATTAGCTATGATATGTTAACAACAGGAAGGAATTTTTTCCTATTGATTCTAACCAGTATGTTCTTAGAAGTTAGTGGATAGTGAACACTCTTCACTTGTCGTCATCAAGGAGTTTAGACAGGAAAGTACTCTCTAGTCCAAACTGATCACTAAGTTGTATTTGTTTATATTTAATATCAGGCTTAAAGTTTACCTGCTACAGAGGTACATGTGCAAAATCTTTTTTCTAATTAACTAACTTGAATTAAGTACTAGCGGTATAAAAACTGCATTTTATTTTGGTTAAATCGTGTTAACGTAGTCTAGAAGATGAGGGATATCGAAGAGCACTTAAGGGTTGTTGTACACTTAAACTTTATTTTCGTATTATCGAATAAATCTCTCGATTTCTATTTATAGGTTGGTGAAGTGATGCAGTGTTATGTGACTTTTCGTCAGCTAAATCCTGAAAGAATTATTGTACGTGGAATTTCTGAACCAATGCTTGCAGAAATGCATTCCGTATCTCCTGTTGATAAGTTAAACATAGAAGAAAGACCTTTATCATTACCAGCGGAAGAACTTTTGGCGGATTCGGAATGTGGTTCGTCAGGACAGATTCGTGAACTCGTTGTTGCACTGTTAAGTCCTGATTCCAGAACGCGACCGATTTCAGAACACAGACAACAAAGAGGCCCAAAACTTGTCCGCTTTTGTACACTTAACCAACATAATTTGGATCTTTTTACACCAAGCCGTCATCCATTGTTTCAGCGTATTACTTCTCTAGCCCAATGTGCACTTCTTCACTTTACCAATGAATACAAACCTCCGTCTGCTATTCGTGGGTTCTTTTCATGGTTGCATAGTTATCGAGATTTATTCAGTGCCCCATGCAGTCGTTGTGGCCAGCTCTTAGGTCAAGGTGTTGAACTTCCAGTGTGGCGTAGTTATCCTCAAATAAGAAAGGATGACCCTCGATCTATGGAACCACATCATGAGCACTGTCAAGCCATTTTGTAAACAGTTACTACTTTTTATATTTTTTTTACATATATGTTATTTCCACTATTTGACCGGTTAATTATTAACTGACTTCTAGAATAATTTTCAAGTTGTGCTTTCTTAATTGTTTTGGATAACTGATGGAAAGTGAAAATAGGGACCAAGTTTCACGCTATTTTACACTTCTGTAATATGTCGTCAATAAATCACGAAAATGGCTTGCATTTAATAGAGGCATTATGTATGGCTTTGGGCATCAGTTCACAAATAAGAATATATAGATACAATAGTTGCACCGTTACAAATAAGTCATCGCAAAAGTATGTAACTTAATGCACTTGCAATAACAGGACATCTATGACAACGTATAAAATAAACGTAAGAATATCGAAAGGATAATGCCAGTTGACTTGCTAAGACTAAACTAGATAAAATTGTTCACCATAAAATTTGTGGTAGGCTAAACAAAATAAGCAACGACTAGTGTTAATGCTAATTTTACAGGTAAAGATATACACGTCTTAAAATAAAGAACTAAATTAGATATTATAATAAGTTATGAAATCAACTGGTCGCTTGCAAGTGAATTTTAACGCCAAAGCAAACTGGAACCGCTTTGTTTGGAAACTATGCATCATAGTTTTACAGAGTGAGGGGAAGTGTAATCTAAGTAGCCTACTAGAAAGCAACATACAATTTCTAAATTTTAAAGCTTTATGGAAAGTTGTATATGCAGTCAACTTATTGTACCGCTAATGGAAGTATCCCTTCAATTTATTTAGCATGTCATCTGTAATACCATCTAGGCCAGTATGTTTAATACTAACTAAAGGAAATGAATAACTCTTGAACCTTTTGTGATTGTAATGAATTCTAAATCCAGATGAAATATATTAGATAACACTTTCGTAGTGAACGCTGAACGCATCTCGTTAATTACATGGAAACAAGCTTCAATACACTTAAATAAAAAATAATTGTAGCGAAAGATTGTTTTAAATAACTTATTCTTGAGAATTTATAGTTTGCATACAGTAGCTAGTTAGAGCGAATCAAAAGTTATATCAGAAACTGTATTGAAGTATTCCTTTACGTACGCAGTGGAACATAGGGATGCAAGCTAGAGCTTTGAATTTTCGGTAGTAGTGGTGTTTCTTCTGCCGGGTGGGATCGCTAGCCTCATGTCCGACCCTCCCTCTTTACTGGTCTTATTAGCGGCTTAGTGAAGTAAAGGAGTCCGTCGGCCGGGGTTCGAACGTCTGATCACATGCGTGGTTGGCGAGTATTCTACCGCTAAGCCACCGATGGAATAGAATAGTAGCCAGTTAATTTTGATTATCAACAGACTGCATGTAAAATGTATGATCAGCAGAAATGAGATTAAATAATTCAGCGAAGTAACCGTGTCTTAATAGTTGGCAAAAGTATAGATCAGAAGGAGTGAATTGAGTCAAGTAGTGCGGTGGATGGCAACATCACAAAGAAATAAAACAAATGGATTTTGCCCAACATACCTTAATGGAATGAGAAATAGCAATAATAATGGTAGCCTACCCCCACCTCCTTAATTTAGTATATTTGACGTGAACTGGCGAGTGATATAACCGTCGAGAAAGGTTAATATGGGAGTTTATTGATGACTATCTATTAATAAATAGAGAATCAGTTATGATGACGTACATCAGTGCAAATATATACGGTAGGTACCATAACATCCCGACGCATTGTGAAGTCTCAATGACAAGAAACAAATTCGGGAGATATGTTTCTACTTGTATCTAAAGGTATAGCAGTGAGAAAAAGTGAAATGGTGTTAAAACAAAACTTCAGTTGTAACTTTGCGGCGATGTAACTGATTTCAAGTTGGACCACAAGTTGACAGTAGCTAGAGAACCATTGAAGACCAGGGTATACTGGGCAGTAGATGGTGACTGAATGTACTAAAACACCTGAGTTACTGTAGAATTGAAAATGAACTTTTCGTGACATCAGTCCTGTTTTCGCCAAGTTGTTCAATATGTCTTCTTACTTTAGCCACAGAATATAGTCACAAATTGTCTAGTGTACGAAAATCCTAAGCATTGTGGGATTCTTCGAGTTACATTACACCTGTTTCAGTGAGATTGCAGGTTAAAATGCTAGCTTTGTCAAGATTCTTACGTAATTTTCCAAATATTCCTTTTCTATGAGGCAACTTTTTGAAGGTTTTGAACTGCCCTAATTGTGTTGCAATTAACACTTACGTTAATATCCATTCGGTTTTCCGAACTCTATAAAATTCAAGAGAAAATCCATTGAGCATTAGTGTAGCCGTTTAAAAAGTTTGAATTCCATACTAAAACTATTTGGATGACTAGTCCAAGCCTTCAACATCTCACCAAGCAGATCATATAGTTCTTCTAGGTGAAGACGCTGACAAAATGCAGAGTCTTCTGAACATCTTGAGCTGCGATCTACGAATATTCGGCATGCGATTCGCTCCTGCCAATTGTAAGATGATGCTACAGGACTGGACTACACTGACTCTTAGCTTAGAAATAGGGAGTGAAGTGGTAGAGCCGCTTCACTTATTTGGAAAGTTGCATCAGCCGACTCCAACGGGTTGGTTGCTGATGGAAAAGGGCATGTGTACTGCTCAGTAGTCCGCTCGTCCTCATTTATGGCAGTGAGACCTGACCATTGAGAGTGGAAGACATGAAAATCTTGACTAGCTGTCTTTGATCATAGGTGCCTGCGTTCTATCTCCCGTGTGAAGTGGTACAATAAGGTGAGCAATATTGAGGTTAGGCGTTGAGTGTTAGGTAAGAAAGGAAAGTCAATCGATGAGGTTGTGAAGTTACAGCTATTGAGAAGGCTAAGACATGTGTTACGCAGGTCTAGCAAACACCTTCCTCGACAGACAGTGTTAGCTGACATAGGATTGGGTTGGAAAAAAGTTGGTGGCGGTCAAACCAAAACACAAGTCTACGAAATCCTTATTAGTTAGTTTGAGCCACACAGGGAGGTGTGGACTGCCTGGTTGGAGTCCTCGGGACGATAAGAACCAATGAAGGCTGGAAACAATGGGTGATATGGCTCAAAGTCGTCCTCAATGGAGAAAATGCATTCACTATGTGATCTGCCACATCCAATGAAACCCTACTGTTTTCCCACGTTACTATTCTTTCCCCCTCATATTTCTGCTTATTATCATCATTTCAAATTTCGTTTTTCTTCTTTTAGCAGCATGAACTGCTGCGCTTTTTTGCAAAGTTCAATATTTAAACCAGCCAGTTATCAACAACGGGCACGTAGGTACTGAGTTTCACATTGAATCTATCTAGTCGCACATCTGTGCGACCACTAAAGCCGATGCTACTAAAAATTCAAATCTACCAGTTTGAACATCAAATGTTCGCCAAACCATTCATCTAAAATTTACGTGTAAGAACAACACCCTAATATTCACTTGCATTATTTCGTCCTAAGTGTATCTTATACTTAAACAGCTTTCCTATGGTGGATATTAAACAGCAATGTACGTCTACACGAAGTACATTTTCACGAAAAATTCACTGAGTAAGCGTTGCATTGAAAACTATTAGAAATGAAAAGTATGTGACTTTATTATACAAAACTGCAGTTTCTACTTGCTATACACAACTAAATCATTCACAATCTCATCACTTTATTCTGTTTTGAAGTTTCAACTTCTAATTTCTTCTGCTTTAAATGATCATTCCGATTTTGAAGGAATTTAGCATATCCACTAGGCGTATAATCAACTCGACCAGAATTAATATCTTCAGGTGACAACACCTCAATACCCAAACGATGAGCAGTACCAAGCAACATTTTGCAAATATCTTCCAAACTTTTTGTTAATAAATTAGGATCTTGTTGTTTGAGCTCAGCAATATGATAAATATGTTTTAAAGTTATACGTCCACATATTTCACTGCCTACAAAGATTGATGGGAAAAATGTAAAAATTATTTCCAAATAAAAAGTTTGTTGTACTAATTGCATATTCGAAAAAACTTGGTTGATGGGAAGTCTAGGCAGATGAATTGAATAAAACATGAACAAATCGACCAACTACACTTATACTGAGGTAAACTGATAAGTTAGGTCATAAATAAAAATTATGAAATGTTGTGTTATTAGGTTTATACATTTCGCATTCTTCATACAAAATTAAAGAATTGTGAAATGGTTTTCCAGACTTTCCTTTAGCAAAAAAGTAAGCTCTTAACGACATTACCAGCAAACTTCTTGGAACAAAGTATTTTGTTTCGCTGAGTGATAAAAATGAATGTACACACCGGTGCACAAGCGAAATCTTTGGTATTGAAAGAGGCCAATAAGAACCACTTCGGAGACTACACAACCCGTTACTCTGATTCACTCAATAGAGGTGTTAATCACACGACAGTAATTTTTTACTCAACTTTAAAAATTATAACCTGTCTATTAACTGGGGAAATAAATGATAAATTTGGGAGAAAACTCTAGGAACATATTGGTAAAAAGTTACAAATGCGAAAATAATTCTCTATATTGATCTGATTAGTAACCTCTACAACGTACTCTAAGCAGATTCTGTGTACGACAAACCAACATGATGCGTTATATGAAAATAGCCAAGCTGGGATTAATTTCCTTAGAAATAGCATTAAGAGTAAGTTATAAGATGTTGAAATAAGGGTTAAAACATATTTTAATTAAAGTAAAGAGTAGTAACATACTCAGACTTTAGATAAGAAAAGTAAATGTATCCGCGCCAACGAATTTCCTGCGTAGTATGAAAATTCGCAATGCGTCTTAGTCATTTCAACTTCCTATCATAATGACACTTCACCATGTGTGTAAATTTTCTACCAATCTAAACACTTTTCACCCAATAGTTCTGGGAAAGAAAACGGGTTTCTATCATGACAGTATTTTAGTACACTTATAAGTAGTTATTTTGATTGGGAAATAATACACGTAGAAAATTAAAATAATTAGAGATTTGTCGGTTTTACGAGTGGAGAGTAGGTTAAGCAAAATCTACTCGTAGCAAGGAGTACAACCAAGCCTAAGCAAAATCTGCCTTTCGAATTTACTACGAACGACTGCAATAAACGTTGCTGAGACCCAATCCTAAGCCATAATTTAGCACCAGATATGTGTAAAATGCATGTCAAACATCCATAGACTTCTGAAATAATATAAATAAATAATTTCTTCACGTTTCCAGTGGAACACACGGCCTCAAGCTAATGCCTTGAAGTTCCTGTAGCAGTGTTTATTTTTACAGGATGAGGTTGCTAGCCTCATGCCCAACCTTTCCCCTTTACCAGCATTATTTCTGGCTTAGCGACGTAAAGGAGTGCGTCAGCGGGGGATCGAACTCCGGACCATGTGCATGGTCGGCGAGCGTCCTAACCGCTGTGCCACCGATGCCCCATAGACTTCTGAAGAGCACAGGTAATACGTTTTTCGTTTTAAACAGCAGCATCACCTAATATTTATATTCCAAGAAGGCAAATTAAACCTTATTTTATGAATATACTGCAAAACACTTGACCAACCAAACATTCGGATATGCACCTTAGGATCTCTAATGATATGTTATAATACTTGATGAAATGCCATGCCCTAAACGGTTGTCATCGATTTGTCTTACAAGTGTGCAGTTCCGGATATTTCGTTCCAAAGCAACCGAAAGTTTGGCAAACAAATTAGACTATCTACAAATACATGTTTAGTAAAGAAAAGAAACGAAAATTGATTTACCATCTACAATGAAAATCTGTAGCAATTTAACACATCAAACCTTGGAATAAAATAAAGGAGAGGACTGACCTGGCAAAGAAGCACCCTTTTTAGCAGCTGCAGCCATTCTCAACAAATGCATAGATGATGGGTGACTAATCACTAAATCATATGATCGATCGGGCTAAAGAAATAGTTCCAAATAAAGCATTACCTTGACAGATATAAAACAAGGCAATGGGACTCCTTCCATAATATCTTTGGTTCTCTCATTGAAATCTTTGCAAAAATTGGCAATATTTACGTTCCGCTAATGGTGAATATATTTTATATGATTGCTCAGAAACAGAATACAACTCACTCGACCTAACTGTGGTCCTAAAGGTGGAGCTGGCCGAGCCTGTTGGGCTGGTATGATTATTTTGAGAAATGGTGAGTGAACTATAGCCTCTGCGGTGGTTTTGGCTTTGCGAGCAACTTTCATGCCTGTTCGAGAAGCCATAGTCTACAATTAATTCGAATAAAATCAGTAATACATATGAAAGCGGTACATAAAAAGTGCTGTGTGACACGAATATAAGGTGATTCCACTGACATCACATAACGGTTTTTGGCTATGTCTGAACTAAAAAAACAGTGTTATTCATAGCATGTTATCCCATCACTAAACAGATTATCAACTTAATCGCAAGTGGTGTCATGTTAAATTCTACATTAATTCAGACGTGCCAAATCCTGTGAGTGTTCTTATTATATATTTTCCAGACTCATAGTATGAGCTTATATATACATATATATGTATACATATACAGTAGACCATAAAGAATGATGTACTCACTTGTCCAGTAAAGATCAAATGCAAAGAAGCTGTGATTTCGACGGTTTGACAGGTCTGATGCAGTGGTTCACACACTGCAAAGCATTTTATAGCTAGCATTTAATGTTCCGATTAGTTTGAAGTCATTTTCTTAATTTTATTGATATAATAATCATACATATACTAATATTTGGACTGGATAAGGAAGAACTTCAACTTCAGATGAAACAATATTTATAAGACTACAGAGCTCTAGGTAATTTGTCCGGTTTGTTAAGAACTCATAAAGTAACATTTAGGCAAAAATTAAGAGTTAAAGATGCATGAGCACCTTAGAACAAGACGTAACATAGTATTATGGTCAACATCTGGTCAAAGTGAGTGGGAAAAAAGATAAAATGAAAGCAGGCGCAGAAAGGCATAACAAAACTACAGATACATGATGTCACAGAATAGCGGTATTTAAATATCAGTAAAATAACCTATGGAAAGCCAGAAACATCCAACTCTAAGTTACTATTTACTGTAGCTAACCATTCGAATGACCATCGTAATGCCTTTGCTATAATTTGGAATAACCTAGCTATATTCTCTTCATACAGTTGCGTCACCTTGTGTAATCATTATGGATGGATAAGCACAAATTCGATGACCAACGCTAAAGCGGTGCACCACACGAGCAAAAAAATCTGGCATTGGTACCAGATGCTTAGCTAGTGACAGTAAAATGCGGCAGTAAAACTTGCGAAACATGATACACAACCTGATTATAAACTGCTGAGTTGTTATTAACTCAGTAGATACTAACAAATACAACGGAAACTTGATGACTATATACTGAACTTAAAGTAACGCTACCTTTCGAAATAGCTTCTAGTTATTTCCGAGACTCACTGTCTTCAATTGTGGTGAAGTGCTGTGTAACACAAAATATTGTATTGATGCAAAGGAAATTATACATGCTTCTGACAAATTAGTTGTGACTCAAATGCGAATTCTATTAAGTTCACTGACCCTTTCGTGATATCAGATATCTGTCTGATGATTTCCAAGCTTTCCATCATGCTGTATTTGGAAATTAGTTATGAAAGAATGGCAACATCTAGATAAATCAACATCCAAGCGGTAAAGCCATCAATTTTCCTATTTTTTGATCATTATAACCGTTTACATTTTATTTTAGAGCTCTCATAGACAAGAAATGGGACTTCCGTCTGAGTCTTCAAGAGGGGATTTTCTAATTTTCGATATCCAAAGGTAGTTTTTTGTACTTAATTCTGGAGATTCAGTTGTCTGGATTTGGCTCTTGTTGTCATATGGTTTGCTTTAACAAGGGACTCAGAGGACCTGCGAACTGATAACACTATCATTTAGTGTGCACGATAGTTATATTGCGGAGAAGTGCGATGCAGCAGTTCAACAATCTATTCATCAGCACCATCCATATAATACAGAAGAGCGTTATAACCTTCGACTCTTTAAGTACATGAATTTGAGATGTATATATTTCCGTGAACAGTTCATTATTATTAGAACTCTATATATATAGAATATATATATAGTCGGGGAGACAACGTTAACGGGACTAAGTAATCCATCAAGTCTTATGCTACTGCCCCGTCTGAATTTTCTACTAAACATGGGCCATGTCATGAGCCTTACCTGGATTCACTGCTGTAAACTGACTCTAGATATCCCATAGTGGATAAATTCAGTAACCTTCCAGACATTCAATGTTAAATAGTTGATAAGCCTAGATTTGCTTTGATACATAGAAAGTGTTGTCAATCACGTCTCATAAACCGTTAATGCCCAGCTCTCGCTACGCTCGGGCCCACGCTGTTCCTTTGAGTTTTCAGAAACGCTTAGTAATAACGGACGCAAAAACCAAAACACCGATCTGCCGCTTGTTATTTCTTTATTGTTACACCAACATATAAAAGGAATAAACGAACTAAGGTCTGAAAACAAATATTACAATAATAAATCATAAGATTACTTCTGACGATGTTTCACTCTTCTTTCTGAACAGCGACCGATGAGACGATGACTGTCGTATTGATGCCTCCGCGAAAATTGGGGAAGTTGATTTTGAGCAAACAACCAAGAATTGATCGTTCAATCTTCAACTCCATTGACACTCCCCGGCAAAAAAGGGATCCAACCCTTTTTTCCTTCACGACCAATGCACGTTGACTTGGATGCCATTGCGAGAACCTGGGTCACACGGACAGAGCTGAAATGGAAAACAAACAGAAAAGCCAACACACCACAAGCATACCCACAGCACAATCTCACACATCAATGACGACCTGCGCGTCCAGACAGAGACCTCCTCTTGACATCTTGCAACACAATCGCCATTTGCTAGAATGACTCTTGCAGAATGCAAAGTGACCATGGCAGGACCTCACGATACTCTACGCACATCCTCTTAATTACTCACTACCAATTACCATTGAAATCGCTTGTCACTCATTCTGCCTCAGTTCTAGTAGCGGTGACGCATGCGAGCCTCAGTCGTTTACACTCTTTCTCCCCGGCGTGTCGGACCGCAGCTAACAATTATCTCCGTGTGCGTTTCATTCTCAGCAATAGCCTAGCCTCCCCGGCGTATACGACCCATCTGCTGTCTCTAACATCAATCAATTCATTCATGGATGTAGAAGACAAGAAACAACTTCAGAAGTAATCACGACGAAAATTTTAACAAAATTATGCAATAAAAACAAGGCACGAAAACAACGAGTAAACACAACTGATCCAAAATCACAAATTGCGAAGACACACCACACGTATACACAAACAGTACAAATAACCTCGCGGATCATGTCTTGGTGGAATTATTTTGAAGAATTGGAGGACTTACACCAGTACGCCTACAACCCTTCACAGGTTGACGATTGTAAGTTGTGGAATGTCCAGACACAAACAAGATTAACCAACAATTACATCAATTGGAACTCACACAACTATTTAACACAAACATATGTACAATCAACACATCAAATGTTGTGGATTCTGACACGACAAACTACCCTTGAAGAACTGTAGGACTTACAGCAGTACGCCTACATTCCTTCTCAGGTTGATGATCCAAGTGGAAGTCGTCCGGACACAAACAGAATTACCAACAGCTAGATGACAGATGATATCAATTCAGTATATACAATATGAACATATGTACAAGATCATACACCAAGCACATTGGACTGCTCATTGATGCGCTACCCTTTGAAGAACTGTAGGACTTACAGCAGTACGCCTACAACCCTTCTCAGGTTGACGCCCTAGGTTGGAAAATCGTCGCAGAGTTCATTTGCTAACTTCCTTCTATCAGCTATATCCTCAAATCTGAACGGCAACACGCCCATGTCATTGTATCGTAGAATATAGATGACCAACAAACACACGACATATCTCATCAACCAAGTATAGAAACAGAGTAATTTACACCAAAGATAATAACATTCAAATAGTAACTTGAAACTAGAAATGCCTTTATTCGTGCAAGTCAATTTAACAATAACTCTCTCCTTTACACTTGGCTTATCCACACTAAACTGACCATTGATATTCGTCCTTTCAAACGAACTGATACTACCATAGTCATTGCACAAGATACTTGAGTTGATGGGTGTCTGTTTCATTGTGGATGACAGCACCAACGATGACTGAGTGACACAAGGTGATGAACTTAGTGGTGGATCAGAAGCTGTTCTTGTTCGGCTCTCAGATAGTTGTCCAACTGCAAGATTACCACCACTGCTGTCTTTCACTACTAGTTCGGGTTTAGCACTATCATCTGATGATAGGTGGGCTACACGCTGATCAATTACACTGACTGTCTCACAAGTATGCACACCTTCTGGAACTGCATCTGCGTTCAATTCTACTTCACGTTGTAGTTGTACAGAACCTTTATTTAACTTAGCAGTAGTAGGCATATCCCTCATCTCATCATGATCAACCAAAGACAACTGTGAAGTATCATGATCATTATCACGAATATTCACTTTACCGTCAACTTCATCATTTTCAAACTCTTTAATAACAGAAGTAGACAATTTTGGTTCCTCCTCGCAAATCATAAAAGGTTTTATATCTTCACTCTGACTAGTAATACCTTGTAAACTTTTGGAGTCAGAACTCCACTCTGAAGCAGTAACTCTATTCTGTGACACTCTATTCAACAACGGCTTACCAGTTGCAACTACAGACTTCTTCACAACACCGTTATCGTCACACAATTCGGAGTCAGGCCTGGAGTTTACATTTAGCTTATCACTGAACTTGCTCACTGGTTCACAGTTCACTTCTGTATGCACCTCTTGCAAACGTGTAAAACACAACCGTGTTTGTCTTGCATCTTGTAACTTATCTGTTGAGGATGTACTACGAAACCTGTTACACTCACTAGGTCTATATGCATTACTAGACATCATGGAGTCTTCTCGATATCCACCTCTCTGAGGCTTATTCGTCATCAATGATTGCGTTTTACCCTCAGACTGCTCTATTCTAGGGGTGAGATCTAACAGACTGGAAAACTTGCTCATAGATTGATTGACACTAGTATTTACCAGTTTCAGGATATCATCAAACTTTGGCTCGATACCCTCATCCTCCATACGGGAGCTCATCTTCACCCACTTCCTTTGCAGTCGAGTAGGTAGACGTCTTGCTATTACTTCTAGTATAAAACTCGAGTTGAGGTCACTCATGCGATTCATCGAAATCATTCCATTCTTGTAAATTAGCAAATTATCTAAAAACTCAGTGAGTGCCTGGGAGTCATCCTGTAATTGACCACCATTACCCTTAACAGCCTCGAATAATTTCCCTGCAATCATCGAAGGTCTTCCAAACCTTTGACGTAATATGCTCATAGCCTCGTAGTAGCCCTCTTTTGGCTTCATAAACTTACAAAACTGTATAGCTCTTGCAGCATCTCCAGTGCAATATCTCATCAAATACATTAACTTCAATTCATCATTTAATAAAAAACCACTCAACATGATCTCAAACTCCTTTACAAATTGTAAATAATCAGCCGGGTTTCCATCAAAACACCGTGGTTCAAATTTAGGGAGTTTGATGTTCCTATTATCCCTGAACGGCGAAACAGTAACATCAACCATGTCATGCTTAACATCAGACACATCGTTACAATTAACAGACAAGTCACCATGACTTACTTTCCTGTTTGCATCCAAGACACTCTGTCCCTTCTTTGACCCAGGCATTGTTGAACTTGACCCAATTCCAAAAAGTTCCAGATATTGCTTGTTCAAAGAGGACTTGACCGGCACCAGGAAAAATGAACGGCGACTATCCAAACTTTCACCAACTGTTTGAATCCGCCAGATCTGTTTCTATCGTCAGAAACTGTCAATCACGTCTCATAAACCGTTAATGCCCAGCTCTCGCTACGCTCGGGCCCACGCTGTTCCTTTGAGTTTTCAGAAACGCTTAGTTATAACGGACGCAAAAACCAAAACACCGATCTGCCGCTTGTTATTTCTTTATTGTTACACCAACATATAAAAGGAATAAACGAACTAAGGTCTGAAAACAAATATTACAATAATAAATCATAAGATTACTTCTGACGATGTTTCACTCTTCTTTCTGAACAGCGACCGATGAGACGATGACTGTCGTATTGATGCCTCCGCGAAAATTGGGGAAGTTGATTTTAAGCAAACAACCAAGAATTGATCGTTCAATCTTCAACTCCATTGACACGTGTTCTATCGTATATCTGCTTTTGTGCGCAATAAAGTAGCATTCTTCAGAAAAGTATTTAGCCACCTAAAAGCACATTAAGTTTAACGATTGAGAATTACAGTGCATCTGTGGCGATAAATAAATCCGGAAAATTATTAGTCCATGGCCTTCTTTACCCAACCTAGCGAACCAACCTGCACTGATTAAGTCGAATTGTTCATCTAGATGTGCTCCACGTAGCACACACACCAATCTGTAGCCTGCTATGTTGTATTCAGTAGTTCATGCACGAACCCTAGTTATTCAGGCAATCGTCATCGCTTAACGTTTCTGACCACAGCGTATATATCATATTTCCGACAATCAATTCGTTGTGTTTGATTTGTCTATGGTCTCAGCAGAACAACTACTTTGGAAGTTGCCGTATAAACACTTTAGACTGTATTTGGGGAAATGTCGGCATGCTGCATCTTTTATACATTAATGGCTTAACTTCTGAAGTCTGAGTCGCTCTTACGCTATATATCTCGTATGCAGCGAACCTTTCGCACTGAACGGCCCGACTGTTGAAACTAGTGACGATTCTTTGCGGTAGTGCAACGCAGAACGAGATAGATTTTACAGCCAGTGGAAGATATTGAGGCAAATAAAAGCTTAATGAAATGGTTGGAAGGGTCACAATTAAGCAGTGTCAATATGAAATGTCCTCATCCAACACTTGAAAATATCTCATTTATGCACAAGGTAACTGCTCCTCGGAATAAACGCTATGTGTCCCTCAATACACCTCCTGATATCTTAGTAAACATGCGACATAAAAGCTACTAGAATTTAGATGTTTGTGGCCTAGAGTTGATCGTGATAAGCGAAATTTGATGTGCTTGTGCTTATATACCACTCCAATAGAAAGTGGAATTATTTTACTAATTCATAGCAAATTCCCGCCGCAACAAAGAGAAAATCAAACCAAAAACAAGGAGGGAAGTGCAACTGTGAGACTAGTGACCCCACCCCGTAAATGATACATCTCTCGCTCGTAGCCACAAGTTCCACTCGAAACTTAAATCGGTAAAACATTATTAAAACACAGAAAATCGAAACAAGTGGTGATTAAGAGAAGAGACTCTTTTCATCGAATTTATTATCAAGTGGCACAATCTTATTTAAATAAAAATGGTTTTTAGGAAATTAAATACGGTGGGGGAATCGAATCATAGATGTGAATGCATAAAATAATAATAGCAGTATGAAATGCAGTTACAATGTTTGTGATCATAATTATAGTTATATGTCAGGTAGGAAAGTAATTAATGCTATATAGAGAATAGTTCATAGGATGTATATAACTTCTAAGGGGTGTATATATTTTTGGGGGGATGAGTTTGCTAGTCTCACAGTTACACTTCCCTCTTTTATCGATCTTACTATCACCCTAGCAACCTAAGGAGTTCATTGGCCCTGAATCCAGCCTCGAACTACATTATTTTTAATCAGATAGGTGTACACTTTTTAAGAAACTTTTGTGGTTTTTTTCCTCGTTAAGATTATCAGCATTCTTGCATTAATTTCTAGGTGGGACGGGCCTTGGACAAGAAGCAAACAAAGCATGAGATCCAACGGATGAACATCAACAGAGTGATGCACATACACCAAATTAGCATAAGTAGACCACCAGTAGGCAGTCCATCAAGCTGGCCTAGAGAGTTTTGTTAGTGGTTACGCTGTTAGGTTTTGACTTCCGGTTGGTTTCATTTAGCGGTATTCACAACCCCACCAGAAAGAAGTGAGCTGTGGCGGTTGATTATTCCCCAGAATTATTAGCTACAGTGTTCATCACTCAACAATGGATGCTGTCCCTCTCTTTTTAACTAGATTTCTTCAAGTGAAGGTCCTCACCATTTGATATGCCGTCGTGTAACGTTCGGCTGTCCATGCACTGTCTCTGGTAGTCAAACCTGCACTACGATTTAGCCCCGAAATATACTTCATAATTCGGGCGATAAATTCCGGTGTTTTGCTTTGTCTTCGGTCTCCACGGTACGAACGATATAGAAGTTGTGGCTATCAGATCTTGGGTCAGTATACATCGTCCTATCCGTGAACGTTAACACTTTCGGTCCCTAAAATCCCTCTGTCTTACGTCAAGCACCGAAACAGTTCGCGGCGTTTTATCTAGAGGTGGGTTGTAGACTTAACATGGTCTTCCATGGTGAGAGCCGATCGAAAACAACAGTTTCGTGCTGTGACCTTTGAGATGTTTTGGGTCGCGTTGGAACTCGAACTCATTTGAACCACTGGAGATCACCTATTTGCTAGTGACATAGTAGAATACATTTATTGTTATATTGGAGATTCGCTAATGGTCGTTATTGATGGTTAAAGCCCTCTCCAGTCTCAAACTAGGCATGCAGTGCGAGTTGGACACATTGGCTTACAGGAACACATTCCGTTCACCTGAATGGCTTATAGCTAAGGAAATTAGTCACTCATGGGCTCCTAATGTTCGCAGCTATACTAATTATCATATTCGCCTTATGCGTCAAATACAGCCATTACCAAGCCCTACTCATAGTTGAAAAGTATTACTGAGCTTGAGATTTTAAGGTGAGACACACCTCCGTATGCATCGTGATGTCAGTTTGAGATGCCTGCAGACTCCTTACGGTGGACCGTTTAAAGGTATCTGTAATGAAGGAGGAATTTCATCATCGACCGCATATAACTTCAATATGCAGTAGGCATTGTTCGTTGGAAAGTAGCCTAATTAGATGCAGAATCACTGCACTTTTCATCGTCGTGACCGGAAATAACCCTTCTGCTAGACCATGAACGACATTAAATTACTTGTGAAATCAACGGACTATTTAGTAAAGAATGGGATAAGTTCTATACGTGATAATGGGCATGTGTGCTGATTTAAACGGTGTGTGTATTTGTACTACAGACACGTTTATAATTTTGTATTCTTACATACTGCAAGTACTTTACCCACCTGCACGAAAATCTATTTGGAGGAAGTTGGTTTCGTTCACATTTAACATGATATACATAAATTTCAGTTTTCGTGGTACAGTATTAACGAGCTCATGAGAACCACATACTATCAGCAGTCACAGGTGTGAGCTAGGTCCCCTGAGGCCGCTGATATACCAATTTCCCCCCTGTGCACTCCACTCACATAATAGATATTCGTATGCAAAAGTGGTAGGGCTTCGACACTTTATATTAACGCGAGAAGGATTGAATCTAGGCGCTTTGTTTCATGTCCTCATAGGTGTACATCATTACAATAGCTTAGGAGGCCAAGTTATCTAAGCTGTGCTTATTGTAGGGCTCTCAAGTCTCAATGTCACTGGTGCCAGCCAAAACGTCTATGGGAGGATAACCCTCTAATGCACCTTCCATACCATCAAAAAGCAAATAAGTCAACAATGAATATATCTAATTGAATTAACACGTTTTTAGCTATCGTACGAATTTCCGAGGCGTTTTAATTTTTATTTAAACAGGTACACATCGTTTTATGCTTGCTGGTAGGCATATTCTCAGAATCCCTATTGCAGCCACTTGGCCGGATAAGTTCGCAGAATTGGTTGTTATCACTAAATATTCTTAACATTTATCACACTTAATTGCATTGCTATCCAGTGCATATTTCCAATCAACTGACTCTATTTGATTCGTGTTTTGCTACAGGTAGTTTTTGTAAGATACAAATTTAATTGGTACTTGAACACACACCGTGTTTAGTATAGCTGATAAAGTGTAAAACACTGACACCACAATCAGTACCTTTTAGACCGTTCAAAAGTAATACTTCAGTGGATAAATTTTATAACACCCACGAATAGGTAAGTGTAAAATAGTGTATCAAAGCTGATAAGATAATAACGAGCTTTTCGGGCTGATTTGACAGCAGAAAGCTGTACAAAAGGACTTTTATAGGTAAGTTCACATAGTTACAATTATGATTTAATTCAACATAGTAACGAATGGAGGTTAAAAGAGATGTGAACATCCCACTTCATACGAAAGTTGTCCAATTACCCCCTGGTTATCAGTGGCTTTCTAGCTGGAATCAGTGCTCCATCAAACTAGGAAATTAGAAAAATGTAAATTACAGGGTTCACAGTTGCAGTTAGACTTATAGACAATCATGTATCTCCTGGAAAGCTACAGTATATTATGTTCAGGAAGCTGTTCTTGTCATTATTATACCCTGTTTTGATTATTTGGCTGATATCAGTTTGATATATAGTATGATGATATAAGATAGTTGGAGGCAATCGGCAAAGGCCTTGGACCTAGATTTCGTGCTGGTTGGCACTCACCAGTCAACAAGGAGTATCTGCAACCTTGAAGGAACTCATGTCCCTTCTGAGATTCGAACCAGTGTCACCCAGTGCTGCAGTCAGAGACGTTACCACTGAGTTATTCGGGGTCGTGATTGACCTCCTGTAGGACTGTAGAGGTTATTTTGATTGGACACTGGTAACTAGTGCGACGTGTCTAGTCCTTTTTTTTGGTGCTGACTGAATTCTGTCAGTCAGGTTTAAAATGTGGCCATCATTATAGGTAGCTCGCCATCACGGTGAACAATTGATTTGATGATATTAGATAGTTGAAGGCAATTGACAACGCGATATGCAATTTTTGATGATGTTGAACTAAACAATTACTTTTATAACTTAAACATCTGTCACATACATATACTTCTGTAAGATTTGATGTAGAGTAGTTAAGGATTTTTCTATATACCTGAATTAGTACTTTATATTTAATTTTTGATAAATTTACATCAGATAAGAAAAAAAAGCAAAAGATTAAATTATCAAAATGATACATATTTTAGACAGTTACAAGGAAGTTTCTGCAATATTAATTGAACATACTTTAGTTCGTCATTTGTAATGTATATATATATATAAGGCTTAAGTGCGACTATTGAATTGTTAGTAGTTGAAAGTTAAAGTAGTAAATGCATAAAATCAATACGACAACATTTATAAAATGAAGCACTGAGAATGAATTCATCCTAATTGAAATATATATGTCATATATAGATACATCGGCGTAAAGAATATTTTTATACAAAATGAATAATTGAAACATTGCATAGGACAAGTTTAAACAAAACAGCATTATAATTAATAATAATGTATATATTTCCTATACAAAAGTGTAAAAAATAAATGTATATTTAATTTGATATTGTATCTTGAAATCTCTATTCTGGATTAAACTTCAGCGATTGGAATCTATAAAAGGCATAAAAGATAATGATGAAATTAAAAAAAAGTAATGATACACTAATCAATAATTTTATGAAGCAATGCACTAAGAATCGTAGGAGAAAGTAGGTTGACCCAGACAGCTTCAGTCTAAAATTATGATGATCAAATGAGTTAGAGCTACAGTTGTAAAAAAAAACGATTTCACAATAATAAATTTAGCTTGCTAAATGATGGTAATCTAATCATTGGATAACTGATTTGCTTTTAGGATTTCCCTGGCAAAAGAATAACCAAAAAAGTGGATGAATGTAGTTCATAAAGCCGAAATTTCATAAATTTATTCCCCTTAATGAATTTGAATAAAGCAATAAGAATAACTTTTGCAGAATATAATGGTACAATCATTTATTTCGTTGGCTTCTCATCATCTGCTTACAGCCCAAAGTGATTATTAGGTATATCTACAGAAACTGGTTTACACACATTTGCACAGAGTTCATTTTTAACTAAAAATCAACCAATATATGCATACAATAATAATAATAATAATATGTACACTCATAATAAACACTTTATCTCATAACAATAATGATCATACACAATGGGAACGTTCGGCATTACTTAATCCAATGAAAGATAGGGTGAAAATATCCAGTTACCATGGCAAGGAAAGACTGATAACTGTTTCTTTCTGAACGTGTGAATTGGGTTTCAGGCGCTTGATGGAGATCGCTTCGGTAAACTTAAGGTGAATTGAACTCTTTTGCCCATTATTAATTTTGAACGATCGATCTTGCGACGTCCACCTCATGACTTGTGTCAATGAGATGCCTGTCTATGGCACTGTTTAAAGTATTTTTCCCCTTTAGACATATGGTTTCTGGTACATGTTCAGGAAATTGGAACTATCTCTTCCTTTCTGTTGTTCCGTTGTAACTGCTCCCGCAGATACATGTAAATTTGTATATACATTTGGAGTTAACATGAGAAAGATATCTTTCGATTTTTGACTGCGCCAAAGAGGAAAGTGTTCAATAGACGGAACGAGCTCAGCTGCAGGATAGGCTCTGCCTAGTGACGTCCTCAATCTTCCATTGTCCATTGATGTAATATTTTCACCTTTAAAATCAAGTTGAATAAAGATGGGCTTTTTTACCACTGTGATTTGCTTGACATATGAACAGAAAGGAAGAGATAGTTCCAATTTCCTGAACATGTACCAGAAACCATATGTCTAAAGGGGAAAAATACTTTAAACAGTGCCATAGACAGGCATCTCATTGACACAAGTCATGAGGTGGACGTCGCAAGATCGATCGTTCAAAATTAATAATGGGCAAAAGAGTTCAATTCACCTTAAGTTTACCGAAGCGATCTCCATCAAGCGCCTGAAACCCAATTCACACGTTCAGAAAGAAACAGTTATCAGTCTTTCCTTGCCATGGTAACTGGATATTTTCACCCTATCTTTCATTGGATTAAGTAATGCCGAACGTTCCCATTGTGTATGATCATTATTGTTATGAGATAAAGTGTTTATTATGAGTGTACATATTATTATTATTATTATTGTATGCATATATTGGTTGATTTTTAGTTAAAAATGAACTCTGTGCAAATGTGTGTAAACCAGTTTCTGTAGATATACCTAATAATCACTTTGGGCTGTAAGCAGATGATGAGAAGCCAACGAAATAAATGATTGTACCATTATATTCTGCAAAAACTATTGTTTTGCTTCATTCAAAATCTGAAATTCTTACATACAGGCTATTGATTTCATCCAGTTTTGCTTTTACATGTCTCTTAATTCTCTATAAATTAACTCATACTCCGGTCAGCATGCTTTGTCTCATAAGATTGATGGAATACTAGGTCTTAACATCTATAAAGAATGAAATAATTCAGTGTGAAGATTCTAAGAGCATTTATCACTTCATATTTACTTAACGGAATAGGGAAGAATGAAAATTAAGTCCACACAATAGGTATACGCATATAATAAATTTATTGTAAAACAAAATATTGAATTAAAACAAGTGAAATCAACATTAGTAGTTTGTCTTGAAGACAGTGGAGTATTTACGCACTTTGAAAAGTCAGCGGTGCTGATTAAAAGTTCATCTAATTGAAAGTAAAACTTATTTAATTGGTGGATGATGGTGACTAGCAGTGGAATCCAGGATGTGCATTTCGTCCTATTTGGGACTCGTCAGCCAGTGAATGTACCTGCATTCCCCAGTGAGTAGTGGATGATATTCGCACCGAGATTCGAACCCAGTGCCCATAGTTTCAAACGCCAAAGCGTTATCCACTAGATCACTTGGGCCACGAGAGCCACCTCTTGTGCAACGGGTCACACTCATTTAATTGAATTTTAGATTTTCCAGTCGATTGATTGGACTGAAGTGTTCGGTCTCGGGTTGACATGTCGTCGAAGCATCTGCTCAAGAAGCCGACATTTCAACCTGAGACCGAGCACTTCGGTCCAATAAATCGACGGGAAAATCTAAAAGTCAATTAAATGAAAGTAAAACTGTTTAAAAATTACTGTCATGTGACCAAAATATCTAGAAAACTCTCGGTAAGTAACATGTTTAATTCATGTACACTTGGAATAAATACTAGGAATGATCGACTAATCCACACAATCTATTTAAATCTTTGATTAATTGTATAACCTAAGATCAAACCTGTCGACAATTCGTTGATCATGCACATTTCCGACTTATTCGACAAGGTGATGACAAAATGAAAAAGAATTAATTCCAGTTATCTCCGTTTAAATTAACTGTCTGAGCAGTAACTACGTCAACAGACTCTTAATCACCAATCATAATGAAGATACGTTCTGATACAGGTGTACTTGGCAGATGAGCTGTTTAACTGAGACATTATTAAAGTATCGCAACTTTAATATCATATAATGCGGAAAAATGAACGCTACATTGAAGGTAAACCGTGTATAAATAGCTGCCATTTGAAAATATAAAAATTAGTGAGAGATAATACTAAGTCAAACTAACCTTTTCATCTGCCTTACAGTGTTTGTGACGATGATGTGTACAATGATTATTATGATGTGATTGTCGATTTGTTGCAATATTATTAGACAATGAAGGTTTTGCTTCAGGTGAAGACAACGATACAGGTGGTTCTACATTTTCTGATAAACAGAAACCTTCACTATTCACTTTATTCACTCGACTTGAACTAGATGCAGGTAATTCTTTTGCATACAATCTGATATAATCTTCTTCATCAGTATATTTACATTTTTTATCCTTTTTGACATCATCATGATGACAATCTGGTATTGTATGAGTTCGTTGTACATTTTGATTTGCTTCTATAGAATAACCTACAACATTGAAGACAGAATATACATATCATTATATAAAAGACACGGGAAGCACAACATAGAAAGCACAATACTGTATAAATTATGTAGCTTTGGGGTAGAAGTTTTAGTTTTCATGACAGTTATACATCAGTTTACGGGACTAATAATTACAGGAATGTGGATAAAAAAATACTCGTTTACTTCTTTAAGCCTTGAAAAGCAGAAAAGCCACAAAATAAAATGTGCACATATTGTTAAAGTAAGCCGTGTACTTCTTGCTTTGACGATGTTCATGGGAACACGTTGCATGAGAATTCGCAAGTGTTGGTTTGGTTTCAAGTTAGAAATCACATAAATTAGAGGAGTATTAGAAAACAAAGTGTACTGGACAGTTGTTTAGTCCTGGTTTGCAACTCCTCATCAGTACCCATGACCCTACCAGAGATCCTACTCCAACACTGTCAACTTTTGAGGTGAGCTCGTTGACTTTTCAGCTGAGACAGAATCCAGTGGCCCATGTATTCTGACTTGTGCCGACTTGTTGTGTACTGACCCACACCCAGTTCAACTTGGTCGACGGCGCTGGTCAAAACTTCTCACTGTAACTCCAGATAGCTTCATCCTGTAGTCAATGACTAATGAGGATTGGATTGTTGGAAGAATCCATAAGCACTTGGATTCCGTGTTAGTTGCTGAATGATCAAACAGCCTAAGCCGTCTCATAAAATTCCTGGATACGATCATGGAATCGTATTCCGAAATCAATTCTAAAAATTATGTGATTTTCTATTTCGACAATGAATGTGTTTGTCGACACAGTGTGAAAGTCACCAGTACTAATGATTGTTATACAATATAAATGACTGGGATTAAGATAATTATTCCTGAACTTCAAGTGTTGGAATTTTATTTAATCGTTTTAGGTCACAAACTAACATCATTTGAGGAACCATTGAAAGTTTGAATGTAGTTGATACCTATTTTGTCCTAGTTTAGAACCCACGTAAGGTAACGGGTTCATGCTGCTGAAGAATTTCAAACTGAAACGAGAAAGCTATTGAGTACTCCCTAGTTTTTAACTCTGTCTGTCTGTTTTCGACATAGAACTTTGCACAATGTGCAAGTTCAAGTCGCCACATTCCGTGTAGCACGCGAAGCAAGAGAAGAAAGTACAAGGAAAGCATAATAGAGACAGTGAGCAGAGTGTGAGACAAAGGAGTAATAAAGAAAACAAAACAGTTTCATTGGAGATCATAAGTCACAGGGGTGGATGCATCTGCGCCACTGAGAACGATTTTGAGCCATGTCACCAATTGTTTCCAACCATAGATTTTTACCGTCCCGAGGACCAGCCTGGAAGTCTACACCTTTCTACGTGGCTTAGACCAACTGTGTGATTTCATGACTTGCCAGTTTTGGTTTGACCGCCGCTAGCTTTTTTCCAGCCTGACCCTATATCCGCTAACATTGCTCGTCGAGGGAGGCGATGACTTGGCATACGTAACACATGTCCTAACCATCTCAGCTTGTACTTCACGACTTGTCGATTGATTTCCCTGTTTACTAGTTCTCCATTGATATCAATCCATGATCTAACTTCATGGCATTATCCCACAAAAAGGTGTTAATTATTCTTTAAGTGTTGTTATTTTGAATAGAAAACAAAACGGATTTACAATTATCCAGTGGGGACAAAAGTGATCAACACTTTCATACTTGATATAAGTATACAAATTGGGCACTGTGGTAGAGTATAACTCCATTATAGACAAGATTTTATTTTAATAAATCACACAGCTTTATAACTGACGACGTTTTAAACCCAAACTATTTCTCATAATCATATCAGGTCACTCACACAACTTTTTACTTTGTTTATAAAAATTGTGTGAGTGATCTGATATGATTATGAGCAATAGCTTGTGCTCAAAACGTCATCAGTTAATATTAGTGTATAACACTTATCTATAGTGGACTTTCATACTTATTTTCAGGACAATCACATTTAGTGGTGGTTATCAAATTCTTCAGCAATGGAGAAATCTTCTAACACCATTGCTGAATTCATCGAAAACTTCTGAGTGAAAGGTGGTGGTAAAGATGGATGTCGATTTTTAAGTGGATTTATTAAAAAAAATATGTTAATTATTAATGTGAAATTTATTTTTTATAATCAGTTAGGCTTTTAGAAACTATGGTCTCAACCACAGAATATTTACCCAATGATTGATGAACTTGTAAAGCTAGTGAGAAATAAGCCTATGAAATTCAACGAACTGTTCTTCAGACTGTCTGAGAGAACTTTGAATTGCCGCTCCGACAACTGCAATTTTTTTTCCTTCACGTTGCCAGTGGAACATAGGGCCTCAAGCTAGTGGCTTGAAGTTTCTGTAGCAGTGTTTAATTAAACAGGATGGGGTTGCTAGCCTCATTCCCAACCTTTCCTCTTTACCAGCATTACTTCTGGCTTAGCAAGGTAAAGGAGCGCGTTGGTGGCCAGGAATCGAACCCCGGACCATGTGTATGATCGGCGAGCGTCTTAACCGCTGTGCCACCGACGCAATTGCAATACGTGACGATATTTATAGTTCAGGATATGGTGGTGGTGGCTAAGTTGCAAGAGTTCTTCCAGTTGATTGGACAAGATAAGATAATCTTTGAAGTTAAATTGAAAACTTTGTTTGTTGATGTTCAGTATCATTAGACAATTCATTTAGTCAAATGTCCGCCAATTTATACATATTGACCATACTTTTACATATGACACAATATGAATTGAAGATATTAAGAAGCAAAAAGAAATTTTAAAAACCATAAATTAATATCACATTTTTAATTTTTGGGAAGACTTAATATTCTTGTAATGAAAAAATATGTGTGAATTAAGCAACGTATAGTATGTACCTGTTGGAATTGGTGAAATATCATCCCATCGGACAGACCATAATGCTGAATCAGTTGATGATAGAGGTTGTACAAGCATAGATGGAAAAACTCCTCTTTGCGAATAATATTTTTGCTTTCCTTTCTCTTCAACAGCTGCAGGAAGTAGAAGATCTCCTTCCCACCAACCATCATCAACGCCAGAATTAGACATTGAAGCCAACTGATCTCGTTTAGTTGTTGTTGTAAATGATGATGGCGATGATGCATTAACTAAATCATTGATATTAGGTGCACGACCTATTACACGAATAATTGCACCAGCTTTAAAGCTTAACTCATCTATATTAGTTCCATGAAAGTCAATCAATGTTTTTACAAAAGAACCAGATAGTGGTGGTTTAGTAATTAAATTACTAGTTGATTCTGAAAAATAAAGAAAAGTTGTGCATACAAAATAATTATTTTCAAAACAATGCTTTAAAGTCGATCTTAATAATATCTACCATACAAGATATCTTCATTGGATATCAAAGTGATAGTTTTACCTTTTTTAAAAACCCATATAATCCTTTTATATTCCCTCGAGTTCCAGTGGAACATAGGGCTCCACGCCTTAGCTTTGAAGTCTCTGCAGCAGTGGTGTTTTTACGGCGTAGGGTTGTTAAGCTCACACCCCTTATCCTTCCCTTTTCGTTGCGATTGTTACTGGCTAAGGGAGATAAAGGTGTGCACCGGTCGGAACTCGAACCTTGGATCACACGCATGGTCTAATCTTATTGAAAATAATTATGCAGTTATTGCTGACAATAAAACCAAAGCTTTTCGCTATATGTTTAGCTACATAACGTATGAATGAATAAGCATTCAACTAGTAAAACACAGAAAATATAGGGAAAAAAACTCAGAATTTATTTAACACTTCTATTCACATAAACTGTTTATTATCAAAAGTGAAATACTCCGTTACTACATAAAATTTAAAAGTAGATTGATTATCACTGCTATCATACTTTACCCTATTAGGCCTTTAATCCTTTTCAATTATGTAACCTTCGACTGAGACGTATGTTTCATACCTCAATTATTTTGTTGGCTGATCGTTTCAAAGCACAAGAACTATCTGAACACATGATTCCATCTCTTTTACTATTTCCTATCTATAACTACACTTCTACTGTAATTCCTTTAATGTTGGTTAGGTGAGCCAATGCATAATTGTTCAAATCGTATTATATGCTATGGCGCAGACTTCATTTCCATAAGTGCATACAGCTAACTATCTCATAATGCAAAACTGTTTATTCACTTCCATGATATTCCACATATAAATTCCTACTTGTCAGTCTATGCCAGGCATCATCATATAAGAACATCTAAACATTTTGCAATCTCCTGCTTTCTCATACTTTAATAAACAATAATGTATCTGACAATGACTCTTTTGTTTTAATTCACTGATTTCATGCATGCCATTTGCTTAAAAAATAGTGATATATGTGACTTATCGTAGGTACAATGCAACTGACTGATTAGTTTTAACCGAAAGTCAGTGTATTGAAGTTTCAGTAGTCATAAGATTCAACTGTCATTTCTCACAAATTTCAATGAATTAACTATCCCAAGCTATGGCGAGTTCGTAGTAACGTTTATTTTCCTTCAAGTTGCCAGTGGAACATAGGGCCTCAAGCTAGTGGCTTGAAGTTTCTGTAGCGGTGTTTATTTTTACAGGATCGAGTTGCTAGCCTCATTCCCAACCTTTCCTCTTCACCAGTATCACTTCTGGCTGAGTGAGGTAAAGGAGTGCGTTGGTGGCCGGGGATCGAACCCGGACCATGTGCATGGTCGGCGAGCGTCCTAACCGCTATGCCACCGACGCTCATAGTAACTTTGCTCTTAGAATATAATATGAAGCGTTGAAAGCCTCCATGAAATCTGTCATAAAATGTATAAAGTTTATTTAGTTTATATTGCAGATTTCTTATTCTTATTGAATAATTTAAATATAACTATGCAGTCAAAGTATTGACTCTTTTGCTGTTACTTAGACGTACCATTTACTAGAAGTTCACTTGTGCATGAAAGACGAGGTGCGTCGATTTCTGGAGGAAGAGAAGTATTTACCAAATCAAGTTGATTTGTTTTATTTAAATAATTATGATCGGTATTTTCAGGAAGAACAACTGAGTTAGATGACTTCTTTTCATTTTCGTTATTGAGCTGCATGAAATTGTTATTATTATTATTGTCTTTATATACCTTGTGATCTTCATTAGATACATGAGGATTGCACAGTTTTAAATAGCTGAAAGGAACTAAACCTTCATTTCCATCGATTAAACTTCTCACCTGAAATAGATACAAACAATGATATTAACAGTCTGTGAAACATAAGAAGAACATTGTAAATAAATAGATCGGCAGGTACAGTTACAGGTAATCATACGGTAAAAACGAAGTATTTATGGGTGTCATGTTGCAGCAAAATCAAGAATTGGTAGAAGTTAGAATTCATGAGCCATTCAATCGGGTCCCAGTGGCTGAATGGTATACGGGCTTGCCTTGTAACCGGAAGGTCCTGGGTTAGAATCCCGGCGGTTACGTACTGCCGATGATTCTCAAACTAGGATGAAACAGCAGCTGTCCAGTACTCCATGGTTTTCAATGGTTCTCTAACTGATATCAATCTATGATCAACTCGTAAAAATAGGTAATAGTACCTGATTTAAAAGAAGTTGAACGAGAAGACTGAAATGATAAACTAGTCCTATGGAACTAATTTCGACCTTCATATGTTAAATGTTATCTGATTCAGTCGTATCAATAATTGCTTACTAGTATTACTGTGAATTTCGATCAATTAACCACAAAATCTTCTTTTTTTATCTTTATTAGTTTGTGAGGTAAAATTCTCGTAGTGCATAGATGAAAATTGCAGAACATCATATTTAGACTGAGACTGAACTGTGTGCAATGAGAATCGGCAGTGAATAAGCTTATATCATCTGTTAGGAAGACTGAATCGGAACTCGACCTTATTGGGAGACATTTCACTAAACACCTACGTAGTAATGCCACAAAACCTGCTGACACACACATTTAAAAAACAGTTTAATATTATATTATTATTATTATTCCCTTTAATTCCTAGTGGATCATAGGGCTTCAACTGCACGCCAACATTTGCTTCTGTCTTCTGCTGTACTTTTCACCTGCATCCATGTTAGTTCATACTGTTTCAACTCCTCTTCACACGATCTCCTCCATATCAAACTTGCACCGACAATCCACTCGCCGCTACCCTTTCGGGTTCTACTCGAGCAATGGCCTGACGCGCGCGCGATGTCACCCAGTGGCCTCCTCAGCGAGCGAGTGTCCAATCCATCTCCACTTTCTCCTGCATATTTGTTGGGCGATTGGTTCTTGTTTTGTTTCTTTACATAGTTTCTTCTTGATGATTCTTTCCGGCCCGGCTATGTGACCTTTAGTATAGAGCCAGCGAAGACAGTTGTTGATAAAGGACTGCAACAGGCTGTTGGAAATATTCTTTGCGACCCGCCAAGTTTATTAAGTGATAAATATGTTTGCACCCTCTATAATATCGAAGAATATTCTTAGCGTCAAATATACATTTTTAGACTGCTTCTGGGTATTTCTACAGGTTACCCAATATTACAATATACAATAATAAGTACAGTAAGTAAAGAGATCTGTTCGGATCCTAACTTTGAGTATTACAGTAGTTGCCAACGTCGAAAATCAGCAGAAATACTCAGTTTAAATAAGTATGAGAATTTAGCTGTCAATAAATTGTTAAGTGTAAAAATAAGAAAGTATATTTAGTATGTTTTACAACTTACTTTAATCCATCCATTTTTGTGCTCATCTTCCAGAAGGACAACAGTTTCATGTACAACAAGATCTAATTCATTTGGTTTTTTAGCTCTAAACTCATGAACTACATTAGCTCGACGTAATCGACCATTTTCAGACCAGACAGCCTCAAAATCAACATCATCTTTATTATCTGTAAAATTGTCTGAACTAGCAACACGAAGTATTGAGGCATGATTATTACTATTATTATTAGCAGTAGTATTATAATTTTGTCCATTATGAAAGTTATTACTATTATTAACTGATCGATGGACAGCTATATCATCACGAGTTCGTGGATTCATATGGTTAACATTTTGATAATCATGTTTTATAGAGCCAATAGAATCAATATTGGATGAGTTAATATGATTAGGATAAGTAATCTTTGTATTTGTCTGTAGTGGTGATTTATACGTAGAATGATAACCTTTCTCACTGGAATTATTCACTTGACCAAGAGTTGTCGGTCTGGGAACTGACATAAAAAAGCAGAATACAAACTAATTAAATAAATGTGACCAACAGTTGATATGGTGAAAACTTTTGTCAACATTATAGGTTATATGGATAAAAAAAGTGAGTAAAATGATACAACTTGTCTAGAGAATAGCTTAATTCTACACAGTACTAGGAATGGGTAGATTAGTAGGTAGCAGAAAAAAAGACATTAACATATTTGTAAAACTTGGACACTGTGATAGTAAGTAATTCCATATTAGTTTGTTTATTAGATGTATCACACAGTTAAACAGTATTATTTACTGGATGACGTTTCGAACAAAATTTATTGTTCATAATCATATCAATTGTTAAATATGCTGATGACCTGACTGTATCTTTGCCTGTCAAATGTCAAAGTGACTGCACTAAACTAAACGGCCTTCTATCAGAAGTCAGACAATGGTCCAAGGAAAACGGTTTCCCCTTAAACTCTTCCAAATGCCAAACAATTAGTTTCACCTTTAGGTACAAATCTCACCTAAACAAACTGGTTAGCACTCATGAGGCGTGCAAAATTGATGGATGACGTTCCGAACAAAATTTATTATGGTTCATAATCATATCAATTATAATCACACGACTGTGAAACCTGAGTTTTATAGTTTTATTTGTTTTCTCCTATTTGTCGTCGTTGGGGTAGTAGAATTTTCCAGATATCTGGTTGGACAGGTGTTGAATCATTCCTATTACACGTATTTGCAGTTGATTCGATAAACAAACCTTCTGTTATCAATCTCTCTTTCTATACACCCTGTGACATCAGATTTTAAGGCTGCCATCCTATCCCATCCTATTGTATGGTTGTGTGTCACTGCATGTAGTGCTATAGCTGAACTATTTTCTAGATTTCTTATCTTATTCGGGTCAACCAATCTAGATTTGCTAGGTTTTTATGTTCATCTAGTCTGACTGACCCTGTTCTACTAGTTTGACCTATGTATTCGACCTGACAATCATCGCAGGTAGGGTATTAGATAAACTAAATTGTTTTGTTTTAAAGGCTCCACAAGATCCTTTAACCGACAAAGCTTGTTTCCAATTGAGTTTATGGGTTTGAATGCCACTTTTATTCCTGCCTTGTTAAGAATTCTGCGTAAGGCTTCCGAGGTTCCTTCTTTGTAAGGAATTATTGTTGATGATTTGCGTTCCTTATTGTTGGTGTCGTTATTAATATTATTATTATTGTTATCGTTATTATTATTATTATCACTATCGCTACTATCATTATTTATTTTATTTTGACATTTCTTTACATATTTCCTGATTAATTTATCCGGATAATTATTAAGTTTCAAGGCTTCTTTTATGTGTATCACTTCCTGTCTTAGATTTTCCTTGGTACTACTTAGTTTTTGTGCTATATCACTTAAACATTTCACCAATCCTCTTTCTACTGACATAAGATGGAATGATCGGAAGTCCAAATATCTGTTTGAATGTGTGGGTTTCCTGTAAACACTAGTGTTTAATCTCCTATCTTCTTTCCTTTTTTACGTTGCAATCTAACATCGGAAGTTCCACTTCCTGACTTTCCAATTCATAAATGAATTGAATTGCCTCTAACTTCGAGTTGATGTGTTTATCATATCAACTGCAAATACATGTAATAGGAATGATTCAACACCTTTCCAACCAGATATCTGGAAAATTCTACTACCCCAACGACGACAATAGGAGAAAACAAATAAAACTATAAAACTCAGGTTTCACAGTCGTGTGATTATAATTGATATGATTATGAACCATAATAAATTTTGTTCGAAACGTCATCCAGTAAATAGTACTGTTTCACTGTGTGATACATCTAATTAACAAGCTAATACAGAATAAAAGATAGCTGGACCGTTGTTCAGAACTTTGTTCTGTTTTACTTTAATCATAAATGCAATTCAGTCTCATGTAGGGTCGTTATCATACACTACCTAAAGTAGGAAGTATCAGTGAATAGTGCTCCTTGGTTTTCAGCATAAAAATAGTCTACCATGAGAAAGTATTTTAATTTGAGAAAATCCTATATCGCTTATGCAGCACAGTACTAGAAGCTAAACAAAGTGTACCATTATGACAACGAAAACTCTTTCTGAATAACACTTTCTCAAAAAAAGGTCTTAATTGTAAGCTCCCTTTAGAAGTCCCGCGAAGGGATCGAGTGGTAAAAAGTGCTGACTTCACTGTGTCTGATTTAATCACATTACATAATTTATAATATAAGGACTTATTTTCAAAACTATTTCTCCATATATGTTTTTTTCTTATCACATTGCGATCTTTTAAATGCTATATAGACAGGCAAAGTATCACATTAGTAAGGGTGTTAAATATTATTTTGAAAAGGACGTTTTCATGTCTGATTTGGATAGTGTGCATAATTTAAGGATACCTCCTAATTCAGCTTATCTGAATAATTTATATTTTATCAGCAATAATAATAATAATAATTTTCGTTTCATTCATAGAGGATATTGCTAAAGATCTAAGTTCTTGTTTTTTGATAATTTTTTTTCAAACAGATTTCTTCCCGAAAAGACAAAAGAAATTTTATGTAAGGATAAAAAGTCTACAACTTTATTCATAGTCATAAATTACATAGGTGTTTGATATATATATATATATATATATATATTACCCTAACCAGTCGACTGTAATCTTCCCAATTTTCATTCTAACGTATGAAATAAAATTTAACCTGCATGTAAGTTTCTAGGATTTGTAATGAATTACACATAATCAAGAATTGGCTTTGTAGGAATTTTGCTTGATTCCATGGAGGATTTCATCATGAGCTGACATCAGTTAGAGAACCACTGGAAAACCAGCTGGGAGTACTGGACAGCTTTTCGTCCTAGTTTGTGACTCCTCAGCAGTACGCACCCACCTGGGTTAGAGACACAGGACCTTGGGATCGGTCCCAGTGGCTTAAAGGTATACGAGCTCGCTAGCCTTGTAACCAGATGGTCCTGGTTTTCTAACTCCGGTGGGTGCGTACTACTGAAGGAGTCCCAAACTAAGATGAAACAACTGTCCAGTACTCTCGGGTTTTCCAGTGATTCCCTAACTTATGTCAGCTAATCATGAAATCCTCCATGCAATTACACATATGACACTTATTGTCAGTAATTACACGTATATCTGCATAAAATTCGGAAATATAATATGAAACATTCAGTACTTCTTTTACAGTTCCTTTTTTCTCTTGCAGTATGGAATAAGTCTTTATCGTTGATAAAATGAATTATTATTATTATTATTAATGTCATTATTATTATTACATGAACTACAAACGGATATCAAGTCTTTATCAACCTCATTCAAAAGCTGGCTATATGACAATGCCACGTGTCAGGTGATTAACGACAGAAAACTCAGAGAGGCGTTCAAAGTGCATACAAAGTGCACGGAAACTCAAAGACTTGCAAGTGAGAATTCACAAACTGGCTGAAGAGGCTAGCAGCGAAGACAGGACCACAGGTGAAAATACAGAAGATGGAGGTGATGAAGATCACCAACCAACTGCAACAACAACAACACCAACCAGTACGAATCACCATCAACGAGAGAGATTAACAGAGGTTACTTCCGTCAGCTATCTAGGAAGCATCGTTTCAACTGCGGGCAGCCAGAATGGATGAAGATTTCAAAGTCAGAATCGGAAAGGTAACATGCTCCTTCATCAACTTGAAACCAATTCGATAATCTTCACTCAGCAAGAATAAGGAAAAAGATTCGAATTTTCAACACCAATGTGAAGTCAGTCAGTCAGTTCTTCTATAATGGTTCGAAACTTAGCCAACGTGTCACGAAAAGTATTTCCAACAGGCTATTGCAAACTTTCATCAACAGCTGCCTTCGCTCCATGCTGAAGATCAAATGGCCAAAAAGAATGTGCAAAAAGAAACTCCAGGAACAAACCAACCGAGAGCTGATCTCTTAACAAATATGTAGGAGTAAATGGAGATGAATCCGGTATACATTGAGGAGACCGTCGAATGACATTGCAAGCAACGCAGGCCATCGCTCGGGTGGAATCCCATTAGGAAAAGACGAGTGGGTCGTCAGTGCAAGGATGACATGGGGAAGATCGTGTGGAGAGGAAGAGATGAGATATTGTGGTCAGTCGTGGAATTAGCTGAAGAAGGCAGAAAACAGAAGAAAGTGATATGTTGTTGAAGCCCTATGTTACACTTGGAACCCAAGTGAATAATACATATATATATATATATATATATATATAATGACTGAGAAACAAGGATAATGGTTTCGTCACATTTTGAGATTGATTAAGAGTGAAGACTCACAAATCGAAAAAAATTTAAAATATGGCGAAAAAATTCATTCAGGAAATTACCAAAGTAAAGCACAGAATATCCTTTCCGATAATTTCCCCTTCTCGTTCTGCAATTATATGTATGTCTACATACAGAGAATATTCTAGAATAGTCGTCAATAACAACACTGGTGTTTTTCAATATTATCGACTTGCTAAGTAAGATGAATGAAGTACAGTTTAAGTCTGAACCAACTTCTTGGTTTGGATACGTAAGTTAGGTTTCTGAATATGGATCCCAACAGCAGCAGCAGCAATATTTAGTAGACAAACGCTTAAGGTAAGGTCAAGATTAGTTGGTATGTGATAAATGACTCTGAAAGCATCGTTGGCATCAGTGTTGTGTTCTGTATCCACGAGGTGAGATAGAACACAGCTATGAATGGATTTTGTTTGTCCCTTCCTTAACACGCAGGAAGATATTCGAAAATCGCAACTGTAATCTTATTGGTATTAACAAATTGATAACATTGAAAAACACCAGCGTCGGTGGCACAGTGGTTAGGACTCTCGCCGATCATGCAAATGGTCCGGGGTTCGAGCCCACGCCGACGCACACCTGATATCTATGGTCGGCCTGCGAATTTTGGGCTACCGATATCCATGCTGAAAATTCCACACTTGTACCAAAAATACGGTGTGGAATCAAGCTGTAATCAAAATAAATATTGACGACTATTCTAGATATTCTCTGTATATAGACATACATATAATTGTAGAGCGAGAAGAGGAAATTATCGAAAAGGATATCCTTTGCTTATTTTTTTTCTTAAATTTAAAATCTACGAGTTCCATTCACTTGGCATAAAATTCTCAACTTGTGTAGCAAAAATTAGTGACTTGTGTGACTGGTATCCAACTACTTGTCTCAATCAATCAACCACCATGCACTGACGCTTCCTCTCTTAATTGAAATTTATCCTGTTGGGCAGATCATAGATTACAATGTGAATAATTTTAATTTTTAAGACAAACTATGGTAAAAATTTCACCACAAAAAATGTAATTCAAAACATCATGAATTTGGTTCAGTGTATTAGGAATTCTCCCAGGTAGCCAGTCAGAATTCAAATGGTTTCAAGTGATTCGACTCTCCTATGTGATTTCAACCGGCTAAACATTTGAAAAAATTCGGCTAAAAAATGAGTGGAAAAGCCTCCTGATTACTTATATCAATCAGTGAATAGTTATGCGATCATGCTCTCACACACTTATTTATAAATTCATAAAATTTTTAAGGAAACCGAAATATGATTCAATGTTAATAGAAATTTATGTCAAACGCAGCCATTAGACAGAAATTCTGAAGTTGAAAATCAATATTTTGTTGAAGATATTTATTATTATTACTGCTCCCTTGGGTTCCTAGTGGAACATAAGGCTTCAACTGCACGTCTCCACTTGCACTTCTGTCTTCTGCTGTACTTTTCGCCTGAATCCATGTTAGTCCATACTGTTTCAACTCCTCTTCACACGATCTCATCCATATCACCTTTGCACTGACGTCCCACACACTGCTTCCCTTTCTGGTTCCAATCGAGCAATGGCCTGACGCGCGCGCGATGTCACCCAGCGGTCTCCTTTGAGAGTGTTCAATCCATCTCCACTTTCTCCTGCATAATTGTTGGTTGGGCGACTGGATATTGTTTTGTTTGTTCCCATAGTTCCTTGTTGGTGATTCTTTCCGGTCCGGCCATCTGATCTTCAGTATAAAGCGAAGACAGTTAGTTGTTGATAAAGGTAACGTCTGCAACAGGCTGTTGGAAATATTCTTTGTGACCCACCCGCCACGTTTCTGATCCGTATAGAAGAACTGACTGACTTGACGTTTGTATTGAAAATCCGACCGAATTTTGTTGTTGATGGTGGCTGAGTGACGAAGATTTCCAGATTGATTTCAGGTTGATGAATGTGTTTCTCACCTTCCTGATTCTCACTCGATTTGACATCCTCGTCCGTTCCTCGTGTAGTTGAGACAATGCTCCCTAGCTGGATAAGTGAATGAAGTAACCTCTTTCAAATCCCTCCCGTTGATGGTGATTGACGTTGGATGTTGCTGTTGTTGTTGTTGTTGGTTGGTTATTTTCATAACCTCCGTCTTGTCTATGTTCACTTGGAGTCCTGTCTTCGCCGGCTGCTTCTTCGACCAGTTAGTGGGTTTTCGCTTGTAAGTCTTCGATTTTGTGTGACATCAAACATAAATCATCCACACGCGAGATGCATGTCTTCTATGTTCTTCGCGTCGGTCCAGGATATTCCTGTCTTCTCGTTTCCCACTGTCTGACGGATAATCCAGTCCACCACAATTAGGAATATCATTGGTGATAATGAGCACCCTAGTCTGATTCCTGTGTTAACTCCAAACGCCTTGCTGAGTTTTCCGTTGTGGATCAGTTGACATGTGCCGCAGTTGTCGTACAGCTGTTGAATAAGGTTGATGAATGTTTGGGGTACACCATAGTACTCGAGTCGTTTCCAAATTACTTCACGATCAACGCTACGCTGTCGAAGACATTCTTAAAGTCTATAAAGTTGAGGTAGAGGTTTGATTGCCATTCCATGCTTTGTTCTATGATGATGATGCGTAGAGTTGCAATTTGGTCAGTATATGATTTGCCTTTCCTGAATCCAGCTTGTTCTGGTCGGAGTTCTGTCTCCAGTGCGTCCCTTAATCTCTCCAGGATGATGCGACTCAGAATTTTACTTGGCGTCTACAGGAGCAGGATTCCTCGACAGTTCTTGCAGAGTCCTAAGTCGCCCTTCTTTGGTAGTTTCACAAGGTAGCCTTACCTCCAATCAGTAGGCACCTTTCCCTCCTTCCAGACCTTTTGCAATAATGGAGTCAGCATGTCTGCTGTAGTATATATATTCTTATAATATATGTTTATCATAATCCATTTAATTTGATTATGACTACATCACGAATTTTTAAAACTATTAAAAATTCATTTGAGTTATATATTATATAAAAACTGTCGGTCTATGTTCCAAAGCCCAACAATTAACTTTTCTAACACATTACGAGTTCAATAATAATATCAGTTTCCTTTGACATTATTGATTGTTCATTAAACAATCATGACGCCTAAGTTGAAATCAGCTTCTTCAGACAATTACAAAGTTAACTCATCTATACTGATGCTAAACGTATATAATATAAAAACAGTTATATTCACTTACATGTAGACGACCAATCATTAATTCTACTTCTGTAAAATTGACCAGTAGTCTGTGAAAGCAGCAAAACAGAATTAATATGTTTCAATTAATCATTTAAAGTTAATTTTAATATTACTGGTAAAAATGATGAATAATATTTAGAAACAAAATCCTTTGCTTTCAACAATTAAGTATTTTCTAAGATAATTCGAATTATAATAATAGTAGTTTGCATTATTCCCAAACAGTAATAATGTTACGGTTTGAAATTACAGGATATATTACAGGATTGCTAATGAAAGTTCTTCCTTGGTATTATTAGTGACAGTGAGATCATAAACATACAGAAAATCGTAAAATAATGATAATAATGCCAATAGTTATCGAACAACAATGAAAACAATTTTAGGTATTTATAGTGACAGTCTTTTATACAAAAAAATTGTAAATAGCAATAATAGGGTTAGTGGCTAAGATTGTCAGTTAATCGAGGTAGTATCACCACTGACTACAAATAGGAGATAATAAAGCGACCAATTATTTAGCTAACAATATAGTAATTCATAAGTTTGGCACTTTACATTGTCTCTATCACATAGAACATGGGCCAAACATGATATTGTTGAGTTCCTATACTTGGTATTACGAGCATTTAATCTTTTGTACTGACTTCTAGTCTCACCAAATGAGATACAAAGGGAGAAGTTGAGAATAAATGGGGTTTTGAGGATCAGAGAGTATAAATTTAGACTATTTGTCGCATGAGTTCAGACGTCTATCAACTAATCTAGTGACAAGTTGAGTAGGTTGCACACTACCGGACCTACTGACAACCTTTAATACCCTTCTCAAAATGACATAGTACTTTTTCAGTAGACCCTGAGAGACTTAGGGGGAACAGTGAAGTAGAATAAGTAAGATGCACGAGTTAACAAATTGTAAAAGCAGGGTTTGACTGATTCCAGATTAATTTAGCTTTTTGGTGTAGTAGCTCAAACAAGGTCGAAAAAATATGGGATGATCAAGTTAAGAGGATAAAACTATACCAAGGAAATTTGTGTTAGACCTAATTTTTGTTTCAGTCCCCTCTATGCTACAAGCACTGTGTGTACTAACGAGTTGTTGTAAGTCACATTTGTGTCTAAAGGAGAAGTCAATAGTCTGGCGTTTTCAGGGATTCAACTTAAGACCATTTAGATTAGACCACTGATTGATACCCAACAAAAAAGCAATTAATTTTGTAACAGTTCGACTGAAACTTGACAGGAAACCACACGATCTGATCCTCAGAGTATTTGACGAAGTTGATTTCATTAGAAAGAAAGAGGTAAGTCAAGTAAGAAGAAGGAGGAAAAAACGGGAGAGAAAAGCACCTTGAGGAATACCAGCTTCAACAAGCAGGCAGAGCAAGGTTCATCTTCCTATGTAGTATACTGCATTCTATTTGAGAAATAAGAATGCAACCAGTTAATAGCCAAGCACTCGATTTGCGTAATGGAAAGCCTATTTAACAGAAGGTATCTAGATACTGAATCAAAAGCAGATTTATATTCGCGGAAGGTACGGCGTACATATTTGGCCCCTTTGTTTAAGAAGGAGATTGTGTTATGATGTAATACACCGACACTATCTAGCGTATTTCTGCTCTGCCTACAACCAAATTGTTTGGGATCATTAAGACTTTCTAAAAAAAGGTACAAGGTTGAGTTAGAGTAATTTCTCCATTAATTTCAAAAAAGGAGAGGTGACAGCAATAGGTTTAAATGTAACATTACTGCAAGAACCTGGTTTCGGTACAGGGATGATTTTAACGTCTTTTCACGTAGCGGGTACAGCATTACTGGAGAAGGAGGTATTGGATATGTTTGCGAGTGGGTAACATAAGATATCAGTACATCTGCTGAGGACAGACAGCGGGTACACCATCAGGACCTAGGCTTTGGAAATGTTGTGGCGATTTCAAACACTTAAGAAAATCAAGAGTGTTAAAACCATGAAAATTACTGACCTTGTTATTTGTTATATTTAGGACAAAAGCATCTTTAGGAGAGCGTATAAGAGAGTTGTTGAGAGTGTTTACATCATATTTGGCTAGTATTTGGCTACTATTTCCTCGTTGGAAAAATTAGGATATATTTGAGGACCATATTTATTAAATAGCATGAAGACAGTATTAAAATGATCTTACTTAAAAATTTTAACCATCTTCTTAGGATGCATTTTATAAGCTGCCTACACTAGGAAGAAAACAAACGAACTCTGAGAATTTGAATAAATTATTGAATCGATTTAAACAATGAGCTGAGTAAATTAAATTAAGTTTATGACGTGACACTGGAGAGAATTATACAATCACTACATAGTCTGCCTTCCTATATGATCGATGAGGCTTAAAAAGACATAGAAATCATTGGTAAATAAGGAATGTGACAACTTTTAGATGTTAACAAAAAGTAGAAAAGCGTATTTCAACAGGTTAGTTGAACACACATAGGACAACTTATTATTATTACAGTTAGAAATCACTATAAGCTAGTACAAACTGGATTTTGCAGAAAACTTTAATTTTTTTCATGGCATCTATGCTTAGAGAAGATTATATTTCATAAAAAAATTTATAGGGATCTCGGAGAGTGAACTGAAATCTTCGGGATTCTAACAGTTAGTGGCTGGAGACAATTGGTGATATCGCTCGAAATCATTCTCACTGGCGCAGATGCAATCACCCTTTGCTATTTGCCATGTCCATTTAAACCTAATGTTTTTCAGTGTTACTATTCTGCTCCATAGCCTTTCTGCTCATTACCATTCTTTCGAATCCCTTCTTTTCTCTCTTTTGTCTTCTTTTGTGAGCTATACATGGAGTATGGCAACTCGAACTGCTGCACTTCTGTGCAGAGTTCAATGTTGAAACCGGTCAGTCAGTGAAAATTCAAAATTCACTTTGTTGATCACGGATTGATATCAGTTAGAGGACCATTGAAAACCAGGGAGTACTGAACAGCTGCTGTTTCATCCTAGTTTGGGAATCATCGGCAGTACGCACCCACTGGTATCCGAACCCAGGACCTTCCGGTTACAAGGCAAGCCCGTATACCATTCAGCCACTGGGACCCGATTCAATGGCCAGTGCATGAACTCTCACCTCTACCAATTCGTGATTTAGCGCGACCCCAACCATTTTTGTTGGTGGGACATCCATCCACACACGTGACACATAATTGGATCTCACTGGTCACGGCTTCTCACTAGAACTCCAGGAAACTACATCCTGTAACTGATATCAATCCGTGATCAACTCGTAAAGACATAAGTAACCCTTACAAACCAAAACTATAGAAAATTCATTGTGTAGCAATATTTGAATGAATACATAGAAACAAGTTCATGAGGAAAAAGAATCTCCAGTTTCTCTTTACAAAGTTGCAACCTAAACCTAGAAGTGTCATTCTGAGACTTTTGTTGTGGAAAAACCTAGTTAAAAGTTTACAAGAGTTTAAAAACTTAGCTATTTTTCACTATGATTCAGAAACACGCGGAAAACTCAAAGACAAACAACACTTCATACAACTAACAAATTGACGGGACAGAAACTACTGAAGAAACATCTCAAAAATACAGTTATAGCTTAGGATGAATATGCCTCAGTCAAACCAATATCGAGTCATAAATAAAGTAGCTGTATTACCAACTGTGAATAATTCAAAAGACTAGTACTTTAAAGCCTTTTAGATTATTTTCACACCTTAGTACATCAAACCTGAGACATATATCAGTTTATTAGTACCTAAACTAGGGTAGAATGATAAGATAAGTGATAACCCGAGCGTTTAACGTTATTCAGCTACAACTCAGTTACTATTATTGTTTCCCCTAGTTTCTAGAAGAACACAGGGCTTCAGCCGTACGTCTCCATTGCGTTAGGTTCTCCTCCAACATTTCCACCTGGTTCCACGTTTGCCAACATGCTTTCATAATCTACCGACATGACCTCCTCCATGTCAACCTCGCACTGACGACCGATTCGCCGCTTGCCATTCGGGTGATGTTGACCTGGCGTGTGGTATCACTCACTTGATGCTTCTCTCAGAGTATGGCCAATTTACCTCCATTTCTTCCTGCACAATCGGTTCTTCCTGGCTTGGTTCATTCACAGAGATCCCAGTCACTGATCTTTTCTGGCCAGCCATCTGGTCTTGAGCGGATTATTGAGCGAAGGCAGCTGTTGATGAAGATATGTAGTTTTTTCAAAGTGCCCTTCGTGATGTGCCAAGTCTATGATCCGTGTAGCAGCACTAACTTCACATTGAAGTTGAAAATCCGGATCTTATCTTTCATGCTGAGTGCTTTCGATCTCCACACAGACTTCAGAGTAATAAAGGTTTGCCTTGCTTTCCCGATCCTCACTTTCATATCCTCATCAGGTCTATCTGTAGTGGAAACGATGCTTTCCAGATCGGTAGGTAGGTAAAGGAGGTTGCTTCTTTTATATTTCTCCCATTTTGTGATGAATGCTGTCTGTTGCTGTTGGTGTTTGCCAGGAGTATTCATCACATACCTCTGTTTCTCTATGTTAAATCAGTTAATAAAGATTTATAAACTTTTAAGCTAACTCCTATCACTCGCCTAGCGTTTCAAACGTATGCTTGATTGTATAAAGTTGATGTAGAATTTCAGTAATGCTGGAGAAGTATCTGTGAAGTTTATATCTCATCCAGATTAAAAAGCATTTATCACAACTTTACAACACACTGAATTTAAATGGCACCTCTATACACTTCCAGTATTACGAGTGTTATTAGTTATGAGAAACATATTCCAGTTGCTAATCAAAAAGCGAAGGAAGGAAAGCAAAGTCTGTTCAAAGAACAAGCTTGATAAAGATTGAAAGTTTATTATCTTGATGAATTTATTAAATACTTCAGTGATAAATGCTTTAACTGACACTTACATCATCATCACCATCGTCATCGTTAAAACTTCTATGGATCGGGTAAGCTGAATCACGACCGATTATTCCCGAACCATAAGGTCTGGTTGGTCGATCCCAATCACCCAGTAGTCTTGAATCATGATCAATAAATTGATTGACACCAGAACTACTAGCTGCACTATCACTGCTTCCTTCACCCGACGGTCGAATATTTGGTCGTCTATTCGGAGTAGAATCATTCAGTATACCAGAACTGGAATTTTCATTACGAAATTGTGCAGCTGCAGCGGCAGCTGCTTCAGCAGCTATTCGAGCTTCAACAATGAAATCGTTGACCTCAACTAAATTGAGAACGACAATTAGATTAAATACTGTTGTTATAAGTGATTTGTTACAAACAACATAAATATTTAGATACAAGACTCTTTATTTAACGTGAAATATGTCTATAATACAATCTTTAATTAATTGTAGGCAAAAGATGCCAATAAATGACGCTATCCAAAGGATCTGTTTTAATAAAATAGACAAGTAATGAAAATAATTTCAGACACCGTCAAAGATTACTTGTCAGTTACAGTTTTATCTCTTAGTATATCCTAACGGTGAACAATAAAAAATAGGTTTTAACCGATAGTAATACGAATAAATTGTTGTTGGCTACATCGCAAATATTAATGGCTTATAAAATGCGTATCTTCATGATATACGCTAAATAATATACGTCTAAAGGGAACAAAGGCTTTAAACAGTGCCATCGCTAGGTATCTCCTCGACACGGGTCATGAGGTGGATGTCGAAAAGTCTTTCAAAATTATCAATAGGCAAAAGAGCTCAATTCTCCTTAAGTTTGCTGAAGCCATTTCCATTAAGCACCTGAAACCTGATTTATGCGTCCAGAAAGAAGCGGTTATCAGTCTTTCTTTGCCCTGGTAACTGGATATTTTTCATCTCTCTTTCTTCCGAATGCGAAATGCTGAAATGTTTCCATTGTGTATGATTATTATTATTGTTCGGAATGGTATTTAATACTACATGTATATATTATTAGTGTATGCGTATATTGGTCGATTGATTTTTGTTTAAAAAGGAACTCTGTGCGAGTATGTTAGAATTGTTCTTGTAGATATATTTAATAATGTCTTTGCCCGGTAAGCAGCTGACGAGAAGGCAACGAAATAAAAGATGGTACCACTTTATTCTGCTAAAACTGTAGTTCTTGCTTTTTTCAGATATACACTGTGTTGAGTTTACTGAATGTACTGCTTTTACTCAAATATTAGTAATCATCTTCAATAAAGCTGTGACACTGGTACATAAATGATCAGTCTTATTTGTGGTAGACAAAAAAACCTTTAACTGAAGAATTCCAGTTTTTGACGAACGAACTTCAAGGATTATTGTACAGCTTTGAAGAACAAAGAAGTCTGGCTTAAAAGACCAGAAAACCAAATAAAGATGGTTCACTGTTAACGAAGACAAGCAACCGAATTCATCTGCACCGTTATTACAGTTTTTAAATGATTTCACTTATAAAACTTTGTTATTTCTGGAACAATGTCCTTAAGTTTCCGCTGTGTTAAACGACTAGTATGAACCTATTTATTCAAAATCTTTGTGGAAAAGAATATATCAGACTCTAGCAAAAATGAATTGCCCACTACTTGAATTTCCCAGTTTGTACCTTTTCTAATAACGAAGTAAGTTTTTCAGTTATACGCCTTTGTAAGGATCTGGATTATTTTCAATGTGGATTTCGCCACGACTAAACATTATTTAGAGGTAACAGAAGACCAGAAGTACTGGACAGTTGTTTCCCCCTAGCTGGGGACTCTTTAACAGAGCAGATCCACGACCCCGGCGTGGTTCGAACCTGGGACCCTCAGGTTATGAGACCAGGCTCGCTGGTCATTCGGCTACTTGGACATGAATATAGAGTCATATTGTAGATAACCTGAAGTCGTTCAAAATAATCAACAAGCAAAAGAAACCTAGCTTGCTACGCTTTGCTGAAGCAATTGCTATCAAACGACTTAAACCAAATCTGTCTACGCAAAAAGAGACAATGGTGAATCTTGCACTGCCCTTTTGATATACAACTTTTATGAGTCACTCTTTTTCGTGTTTAGAAAACTCTACTCTCTAATCTAATAGAAGAAGGTAAACTACACACTAGTGTGTACAGAAAACCAACTCATTCTAATAGATACTTAGACTTTAATTCATCTCATTCGTTGACTGTTAAGGCAGGCTTAGTTAAGTGTTTAACAAACTGGGCAGTAGCACTAAGTAGCACAAAAAAGACCTAAATGATGAACTAAAACAGATAGAAGAGGCTTTGGTGTTAAATAACTATCCTTCAAAATTCGTTAGGAAGATCAAAAAAGGCCAAACGAAAAATAAAAATAATTGTGAAACTATTGATAATAACATAAATAAGAGAGAATATAAGTCATCTACAGTTATACCATATAAAGAGGGGACATCTGAAACCCTACGTAGGATTCTAAATAAAGCAGAAATTAGGGTGGCATTTAAGCCTACAAATTCACTCAGGGACAAGCTGTGTAGGTTGAAGGACCCAGTTGACCCAACTAGACAAAAAAATATAATTTAAAAAATACCCTGCAATGACTGTGAGTTAGGTCAACTACATAGGTCAAACTAGTAGGTCAGGGGTAGTCAGATTGTCGGAACATAAGAATTTAGCTAAGGTGAGAATGGTTGACCCTGAAAAGATAAGTAATTTAGAAAAAAGCTCAGCAATCGCAATGCATGCATTAACACACAACCACACAATAGGGTGGGAGAGGGTTAAAATTTTAAAAAGTAATTTAGATAGGTGGAGAGAGAGGTTGATCACCGAATCCTTGTTCATCGAGTCTACACCAAACACATGCAATAGGAATGAGTCATCACTCATGCCTGAAATATGGATAATACTACTGCCAATCAAATCAAGTGAAAAATAAAAGAACTATATAAATGAACTATCACCAATAGTATTCCTAATTGTGATGGACTGGATTATCCGCCAGACGGCGAGTGGGAAACGAGAAGACAGGAATATCCTGGACCGACGCGAAGAACATTAAAGACATGGATCTCGCGTGTGGATGATTTATGTTTGATGTCACACAAAATCGAAGACTTACAAGCGAAAACCCACTAACTGGTCGAAGAAGCAGCCGGCGAAGACAGGATTCTAAGTGAACATAGACAAGACGGAGGTTATGAAAACAACCAAACAACCAACAACAACAGCAACATCCAACGTCAATCACCATCGGTCAACGGGAGGGATTTGAAAGAGGTTACTTCATTCACTTATCCAGCTAGGGAGCATTGTCTCAACTACACGAGGAACGGACGAGGATGTCAAATCGAGTGAGAATCAGGAAGGCGAGAAACACATTCATCAACCTGAAATCAATCTGGAAATCTTCGTCACTCAGCCACCATCAACAACAAAATTCGGTCGGATTTTCAACACAAACGTCAAATCAGTCAGTTCTTCTATACGGATCAGAAACGTGGCGGGTGGGTCACAAAGAATATTTCCAACAGCCTGTTGCAGACGTTACCTTTATCAACAACTAACTGTCTTCGCTCTATACTGAAGATCAGATGGCCGGGCCGGGAAGAATCACCAACAAGGAACTATGGGAACAAACAAAACAAAAATCGCCCAACAAATATGCAGGAGAAAGTGAATTGAGATGGATAGGACACTCGCTGAGGAGACCACTGGGTGACATCGCACGCGCGTCAGGCCATTTCTCGAGTGGAACCCGAAAGGGAAGCGGCGTGTGGGACGTCAGTGCAAGGGTGACATGGGGGAGATAGTGTGAAGAGGAGTTGAAAGAGTATGGACTAACATGGATGCAGGTGAAAAGTGTAGCAGAAGACAGAAGTGACAAGCGGAGACGTGCAGTTGAAGCCTTATGTTCCACTAGGAACCCAAGGGAGCAATAATAATATGAATGAACTTAGGAAGTCGTGTGAGTACCTTGATATGATTATGAGCAATAAATTGTGCTCGAAACGTCATGAGTAAACATTACTGTATAACACTGTGAGACTCTATCAAAACAAAAATTTACCCATGATAGATAAACCTTGTTTGTACATATATATATATATATATATATATATATATATATACGCAACTCTAGTTTTTGTTTCTAAGCCTAATTGTCTAATTATTCTATAAATAGTCAGTGTTTGTAACTCTTAATTAGTTAAATCATTCCGGACTAATGTTACATTTATTCTCTACCAATTACTCATTGTGATCGTGGAAAAGTAAGTTCATATCTTTAATGTAATTCATATCTTTTTATCGTTCAGGTTGTAACGAGTTGAGCGGAATCCTCGAAATAAATAAAAGATGAGCTCATATTATCCTGGTACAATTGTTGTTCTTGCTTTCTTCAAATATAGAATCTGCCTATACTAAAAAAATAACCTAGTAAATGATTATAAACTCTTGACATATCAACGCCCTAACACACCTAGATGTTCACTTGACCAATCATATATTTTTCCATTATATTTATGTATTGGATCGCTTCTATGGATACCTTGATTACACATTTAGTTCAATATCATTTGTTCACCATCTATTTCCAGTGACTTATTATTATTATTACATGTTATGAAAATGTTCAACAAGTGCATAGGTTTTAAAGGAAAAGAAACACTATACAGAAAAATAAAGAATGGGGAAGAATAACAATATCAGGTGGGTAAACCGAGTATGATCGATAGCGTGAAAATCGTTAGCTAAATGTAGGTTTAACGGAAATCAAAAGAAAACTAATTCACAGTCTTATATATATATATATATATATATATATTTAAAGAATAACAATGGAAGTCGTTAGAGAAAGTAGATTACACCCGGATTGAGAACCAGTGTCTTGATAGTTCACCTCCGAAATTCGGTGGTTAACTTCGGCTATGAAATATTTTGTGCACCTGTTTGAAGTGAATACGTTTCACTGCCGTATTATGCAATTTAGAAAATAAAGATCGATTAAGATTAATGAGTAAATGGTAGTGAGATGCAAATGACCCAGTTTTTGAACGAGGCTACCACCTAGACTATGAAATTATAAACGATTTTGATGTGAGCTATGATAAGAGATGCTTCCAGTATTAGCACAACAATCAACAGCGGAATCCCTCGCTTCACAAGAAATCAAAATGCGATGGCGAATGTGTGGCCTAACCATAATGTGAAAGCAGTAGTTTGACGATAGGGGCAACGTTTTATTTCCGTCGAAATCGATATATGGCCATAAAAGCAGAATATATGACGGACACAGCAGAGAGAGAAAACCATTTTCACTTACTTGATGAATTACGCAATAACGATAAACAAGCTTCTATTTTTACACGTTCAATCTATGTAGAGAAAAAGTCAAAATAATTGCTTATTTAGAATTTGAATTTTGTAAAGAATCTGTATTATTAACGATGTAAATTATGCCATAAACTAACGTCACTTTGAGAATCACTGACAACCAAGGAGTTCTGGACACCTAGTTTGAGACTTTTCAGCCGTCAAGACCCTTGGCCCCAACAGGGATGGAAACCAGAACCTTCAGGTTACTAGGCGTGTACGTTGGACATTTAGTCATTGGTCTGAAATTCAGTTACTCATAAACTCTAGTTTCGGTCATTTAGCAGTATAGCTCCACGGTCAACTGTCATGGTTACGCACCGCCGAACAGTCTCAAACTAAGACAAAACACTCTTGGTTTTCAATGGCTACCCAACTGATGTAATTTCGTGACAAAATCACTGAAGTTTTGTAATTTTAAAAAAAATTTTGATAAAAATCAATCAAAACTTATATCTTCTGTGTATGTGCCAGTGATTTGGAAGTACTATTGTTCAGCTCTAACTCATACAGAAGGAGTTCGAAGTAATTTACACATGGTAATGATAATATTAACTATGATAACATTCCTCTGAAAGATAAAACCACCTGAATATGTCGTCTATTATTACTTATTATTTTATTATTGTCTCCTTTAGTTCCTAGAGGAACATAAGGATTCAGCCTTACGTCCGGTTCTCCGCCACCGTTTTGGCCTGTTTCGCCATTCGCTCACATGCTTTCATCTCCTCTTCGCATCACCTTTTCCATGTCATCCTCGCATTGGCGACCAATTCGCCGCTTCCCATACTGTTTGCACTCGAGAAATAGCCTGGTATGTGATGTCATGTGATGGTTTTCTCAGAGTATGACCAATCCACCTCCATTTCTTCCTGCATATTTGTTGCACATTTGGTTCCTGCTTGGTTGGTTCCCTCCCTGTTGTTGATATTTTCTGGTCGGCGATCTGATCTTGAGTAGTAATGAGCGAAGACAGCTGTTGGTGAAAATTTGTAGTTTGTTCGAAGTGCCTTTCGTGACTCGCCAATTCTCTGGTCCGTAAAGCAGCACTAATTTCACACTATAGTTGAAAATCCGGATCTTATTTTTCATGCTGAGTGCTGTTGACCTCTACATAGACTTGAAAGTAATGAAAGCTCGCCTTGATTTACCGATCCTTGTAGATGAAACGATGCTTCTCATTTATTGCTGATTGTTGTCTGTTGTTGTTACTGTTGCTGTTTCTGCTGGCCAGGAATCTTCACCTCTGTTTTCTCCAAGTTCACCTGAAGGCCTATCTTCTCTGGATACTTCTTCTGCCAACTTGTTGCTTTTCATTTGCATATCTTCTGGTTTGTTGGAAACCAAACATGCCATCCAGCTCTCTAAATTTGTGAAGTATGTATGAACCAGCAAAATGCTGTTTTTTCAAACCTTGAAGTATTATTAGTAAAGTAAGGATTCCATTGTAGTAATGTTTCACAGATTTAATTTTATGTCCAGGTTTTTACCACTGGAACAGCTACATTTATAGATACCAGTGAGTAATTTGCTACACAGCAGTTATTACTCACACATACAAGACATCTTGATTGGTCAAATTTTCATACACATTGAAGGCTATGTAAATTAGAGTAAAGTCTGATATGACAGAAAACAATATTGTCCACTTATATGTCTTGCTTTAATTTTAACACTATGAGTATTTAATGCTATAAATAATTGTAAAAGAGCAACATAATCCTGTCTAAACTTATATAGAATCAATAGAGTTATTGTCATTACAATAATAAAAGTCGTAGTAATAAGAGATGTATGTGAAGTGATAGGTTGTCTATTTCGAAAGTCAGTAGTTTCAGGAAAAACACATTTCCTTCATTGAGCCAGATGATAATTTAGTTTTCCTCATTAGTCTCATTCATCCTTGGTTATACGTAATCTCATTTCATTTTTTATTCATGATATATATTTATATATTCATGTGTATATTCCCTGCCTGTCATTACCGGATAGATTTTATCATCACTTTTTCCGTATTATAAACTGTGATAATATTTTGAATATACACTGAGCTCCTTTATTGTTTTCCTTTTTGGTTAGGAAATGCCAACTTATTGATTAACACTTGATTCACTGCGTGTGTGTGTGTGTGTGCGTGTGTACCGTAAATGATTATAAGTATAACTGTACAAGTTTCAGCAAGGAGTAGATTATTCAACAGACAAATTTCACTTCATTGACTTATCTTACTTACTTACGTGATAAATATAAATTATCATAATTTATTTTTAGAGTTAACAAAGAACTTTAAACGAAACAGAATGCAATATATTTCTTATCAGGAAAAAATAAGATATTCGTATTCAATCAGTATAGTGATGATACCATTCTCTACGATGTTCAGTTGGACAATTATTTCACTTGACAATTTAAACGATTTATTAAATTCAAATATTCAAGTGTTGGTTTGTAGGGATTTGATTGATTACAAGATTTTCATCATGAGCTGACATTAGTTAGAGAACCATTGGAAAGCCTGGGAGTACTTGACAGCTGTTTCGTTCTAGTTTGGGACTCTTCAGCAGTACGCAACCACCATTGGATGGGGTTCCAGTGGCTTAATGGTATACGAGCTCGCCTTGTAACCAGAAGGTCCTGGGTTCGAATCCCGGTGGATGCGTACTGATGAAGGGTCCCAAACCAGGACGAAACAGCTGTTTAGTACTCCCAACTGGTTTTCCAATGGTTCTCTAACTAATGTCACCTCATAATGAAAATCCTGTAAATTTAGATAGTCGAGCTAACAGTTCGACAAAAAAAGTCTTTAGAAATCAATGAATAATGTAGGCAGAATATCAACCACTACATTTTTTCAGACTAGATAGAAATACTTCCGTAATCTCAAAGAGATATGTGTGCATTCATAGAAGAAGAAAAGTTCTTCGGACATAGTGGCGTTGAAGGTACCTGAGTTATACAATAAACATAATGACTTCAGAACTGATAATTACTGAACAGTTCCTCAAGACTGACATTATTTATTATGTTTATGTTTGTACGTCAGTGGCACAGTGGTAAAATGCTCACTAACTACGCAGTTGGTTCGGGGTTCATTTCCCGACCGACGCACTTCTTTACCTCGCTAAGTCGGTAATAAGACCGGCAAAGAGGGAAAGTTGGGCATGAGACTATTAACCCCACCCCGTAAAGAAACACCACTGCTACTGAAACTTCAAAGCTCTAGCTTGAAGCTCTCTGTTCCACTGTATACTTGGAGGAATAATAAAATAATCATTATTGTCTGTGAGCTGCTCAAAGGGAGATTTTTACTATTGTTAAGACAATGATAGAAGTGCAACCAATTATGAAATCCGGTTGTTTATGTGTGGAAGATCAAGAAACAAGAGCATATTTATTAGAAGTATGTTTAACAAATAATAACCAAATTTAACATTCATATGCAAAAATATTACCTCTTCTCGACGTATAGCAAACTGTAATTCTTCAACTTTATGCTCAACATACTCCTGATTGAATGCTAATAATTCTTCATTATTTTCAGTTTCCTTTAAATAACAAACAAATTTATTGATGCATAAGAAATAGTGAAAGATTTAAGGAATATTCATTAGGAATAACAGTTTAAATACTAAATTTTGGTTTGTATTACATGAGATCACAATGCAGAGAGCCTCTTAAGTGAATTATAAGACGCAACCGTTTTCATTCTTATCTCAGAGTGTATTATTAGATGAACAGAAAAGCTTTGGATAACTGTTCGTTATGCTTTTTTTTAGAATGACACATTATTACGTAATAAGCGATATTCATGCATAGTATAAGGAAAACTGTTGCCGCATGTTTTAACGCTTCTAAGGGTTTTTACAAAACCTATAGCTACTCAACTAGTGGCATTACAGGACTGTTTCCAGATTTACAGACTTTTGCTTCAGAATTACAAAATGAAAAAGTGACAAGGACACAATAGTAAAGACTACGGCTGACATTTATCTCTAGGGTTGGACCGAAAAATTAGAAAATCTAAATCAGTTACTATTCCAATGTATCCTTTTTTACCGTCTCTCATCATTATATGGTAAAGAGTGTTTTATATATTTGTGAATAATAGAAAAGATTTCTAGCTCAGGTGGATGATATTGAATAAGTTGTGTTCTCTGAGCTGTTTGATTCAATTATGAAGCTTTCCTTGTCCTCCTTGACAACATCTTCAGCTCAGGTTTTAGTATAAAATGAACTTATTTGAGTTTCCTCCCTATGATTGCTATATTTGTATCTCCTGGCAAAAGTTGTCGTTACTGGATGTTTATTTACGTTTCTATGGATAATTTTTATTGGCTTGAAATTTGAGATTTTTTTTTCAGTGCACTGATATGGAGGAATATATACCTTGTCTTTTTACAGCTAATTTGTGTTCTTCGATTCGGATAACGAAGAGGACGCCCACTTGGACCGATGTCTGTTACAGTTAATACAATTTATTTTGTAAGTGGTAATAATTTTATCTTCTTTTGCACAATATCGAATGAAGCGACTGGACTGGCTCGTGTGCTGTATTCATTTTAAATGGTCTTAATATTCTAGCTGCTATTTCAGTGATATTTTTTATATATGGTAGGATGAATTTTATGTGGTCATTGATGATGGTTTCTTGTTGGTGTTATAACTCGAGTTTAAACACTTTTAATGAAATTGTGAGGATATCCATTCTTTTTAAAGACGGTAACCACGTATTTTTCCTCCATTCTCTGATACTCAATTGAGTTAGCAATTAACAAACACATTACGATAGCGATAGACCAAAGTTATCAGCTAATAAAAAGCAAATTACATGAAAAACGTTCAAATTTCAAGTCAATAAAAATTATCAATAGAAACGTAAATAAACATCCAGTAACGACAACTTTTGCCAGGAGATACAAATACATCATTCATAGGGAGGAAACTCAAATAAGTTCATTTTATACTAAAACTGAGCTGAAGATGTTGTCTAGGAGGACAAGGAAAGCTTCACAGTTAAATCAAGCATCTCAGAGAACACTACTAATTGCAATAAGCGTGAATAAAGAAGAAAATAAAAGACTTTGTGTTTTTACTGTCTGCAGTTTCAGTTTAATTAGTGTAAGCCAGAGAAAGAAATCTAGACATTATCAGTGCTAAGATGTATGTCACAGTCAAGACTTCTTCATATTTATAGCACAAATTTATCTAAAATACCTCAGGTAGTTTATTGAAAAGAGGCCGAAGTATTAATCATTTTATTCACCTTATTGTAATTAATCATGATGCCAGAAGCTAAATACCAGTGGATGTTTATTTTAATTTTAGAATAGTGCACAGAAAAGAAGCATATCGCAACAATGAGAAAGAAAGGATACCGAAGTGGCAGTTTTTAGTTAGTATGACATCATAAACTAAATAAAACTGTGTAAATCTCAAATTTAAAAAAAATTAGCTTATCAGTGAATTAACATAGGAGGCTATCAGAAGTATTTATGATTGGTTGATAAGTTGTAGTTGAAAGAGGCGGTCTGCTTAAATCACTGGGTTACCGAAATTGCTTAATTATATCTGGATTTATCATTGTTTTAATCGTCCAGTTATATCAAATGATCTGTACACGGACTTACGCGCTGAATTAACTTGCTTCCAAGTAGACGCTGTGCAATTCTTCAACGAAATGAAGACATGCTTCAGAATATAACTTTAAATGTAAATAGGCTCAAATGTTTGGTACCATATTATTACATATTGTCTGAAACAAAGTCTTAATATTATTTAAGAAAAATATAGATGCAAATGCGAGGTTTTACAACTTCGTGGACTAAACTATCAGGTGAATATATGGAAATTTCAAAAGACCAACTATATACCCAAACTAAAATGAGTAAAGATAAATGGACTAGAGATTTATTCAGCGTAAAATCAAATATCTAAAATATTCCAAACTATCAATTTAATGCAACAAAACTATAAACTAGCAATACAGTTTACTCTCTGAAAAAGTGAAACAATGAAAACTATGATTATTACTAAGATTACTTCTAATTATTATTTCATTGAAAAATATATTAAAGTTTCACTAACTGAACTATTCTGTTGCATTTGATGTGACTGTGATTGTTGATGTGGTGTAACTATACCAGACAGGGAAGATACATAACCAGCTTGTAACATTTTCAATTCATTTTCATAAGATTTGATTCGTCTTTCACGGACAACTAATCGCCTTGATAGCTTACGTGCAATTTGTTCCAAATTACTTTCTTTTATATTACCAGAGTATAATACTGTTGTCTAAAGAAATTAAAATAATAATAAATAGTGGTAAGTAAGATCTAATGAATCAGATAACAGTCTATATTTTCAAATACGGCATACATAATTTATAAATATATGAAGGTATATATAAAATAATAAGGTCAGTTATCAATCTCAGACACTATAATCATAGTAACTATAACGATAGGAGTGGTAGGAGTGAATAAATCAGACGATCAATGCCTATTTAGGCGATAAATTCATTCTGTTTTCACAGAAAATCAAAATTCACATAGGTCAGTTTTGACATTATTCAGCAAAAACAACAACAACAACACACCACCACTTGACAGTGATTAATTGAATGACATAAGAAAAGAACTTTAATGGTGATGACCTCTAGTAAATAAGGACGTGCCTCTCCACTTAAACCAAGAATATAAGAATAAAAATACAGAGTATTTGTCGATACATAAAATTAAAAAGGTGAACAATTTCTGTTGGTTGTAAGTACTACTTTCATTTTATCCCTTCTCTGCGTTCCTCTTACATTTCACAAGATACACCATCAAATGAATGATATATAAATAGATTAATTTTGAGAAAAGTGAATGGTCTATGAGCTTGCCTTGTAACCATAAGGTCCTGAATTTAAAACCCGATTAGTCCCAAACTAGAATGAAACAGCTGTCCAGTACTGCACAGTTTTCAATGGTTCCCGAAACGATATCAATCTGTGGTCAAACTCGATAAACAAATCAAATCCCTATCAATCAACTCTTGAGAATATTCAACATTTAAAATAATCAACAACCGTGAAAAAGCTATATTTATTGAATTCATAAATTTCGGTAAAACTCATCAGCTGAATACTCTAAAAGATTTTAAGCCTCAATTCAAAATGTGTATATCAATATCAATGTATACCAATCCAGTCCACCACAATGATATTCCTAATTGTGGTGGACTGGATTATCCGTCAGATAGCGAGTGGGAAACGAAAAGACAGGAATATCCTGGACCGACGCGAAGAACATAGAAGACATGGATCTCGCGTGTGGATGATTTATGTTTGATGTCACACAAAATCGAAGACTTACAAGCGAAAACCGACCAACTGGTCGAAGAAGCAGCTGGCGAAGACAGGACTCCAAGTGAACATAGACAAGACGGAGGTTATGAAAATAACCAACCAACCAACAACAACAGCAACATCCAACGTCAATCACCATCAACGGGAGGGATTTGAAAGAGGTTACTTCATTCACTTATCCATCTAGGGAGCATTGTCTCAACTACACGAGGAACGGACGAGGATGTCAAATCGAGTGAGAATCAGGAAGGTGAGAAACACATTCATCAACCTGAAATCAATCTGGAAATCTTCGTCACTCAGCCACCATCAACAACAAATTCGGTCGGATTTTCAACACAAACGTCAAGTCAGTCAGTTCTTCTATACGGATCAGAGGGAAATTCACTTCTTAACTGTCTTCGCTCTATCTGAAGATCAGATGGCCGGGCCGGGAAGAATCACCAACAAGGAACTATGGGAACAATCAAAGCAAAACAATCGCCCAACAAATATGCAGGAGAAAGTGATTGAGATGGATAGGACACTCGCTGAGGAGACCACTGGGTGACATCGCACGCGCGTCAGGCCATTTCTCGAGTGGAACCCAAAAGGGAAGCGGCGTGTGGGACGTCAGTGCAAGGGTGACATGGATGAGATCGTGTGAAGAGGAGTTGAAACAGTATGGACTAACATGGATTCAGGTGAAAAGTATAGCAGAAGACAGAAGTGGCAAGTGGAGACGTGCAGTTGAAGCCCTATGTTCCACTAGGAACCCAAGGGAACAATAATAATAATATCAATTCATAAGTATTTGTGGAAGCAAATACATTGGGCATACAGAAGGATGTTTTACGGCTCGAGCTGCCCCACACTACCTCATATGGTTTTTTAGTACTCATGATGGCATCCCAAGAAGCTTAATCAAACGACATTTATTGGGCTGTCATCATACGGTGACGTTGGATAAAAGCTTTATAGTTATCAATAAACAAGTGAACAGAATATCTCTTGGTTTTTCTGAAGCCTGTGTAGTCTAATTAAAGAATCCAGATCTCTGTATACAAAAGAGACATACTTTTACTTTATCTTGACAATTTTCCTTCCCTTCCCTTGTACTTAGACTGATTTTCACGTTATTATCATTATTAGTTTTCTCAGGATTTGTGCATACCGAAAAACCATAGTTGGGTATTAACCTTGGTAAGCAGTGTTCACACTATCTTATGAGTTTAGATCAGACATGTATATTCTCGTATGGTTGATGTATTGGTGGATGGTTACTAGCAGTGGAATCCAGAATACACATTTCTCCCTATTTGGGACTCGTCATCTGGATGTGCCTTCATTCTGCAGGGAGTGATGCTATTCCCACTGAGGCTCGAATCCAACGCCAATAGTCTCAAACACCAAATTATTATCCACTAGACCACTTGGGCCACCTCTTGTGCAACGGGTCTTATTAGTTATTGAACTCAATTTTTAGATTTTTCCGTCGACTGACTGCAGAAAAGTGCTCGGTATCAAGTTGAAATGTCTGTTGACATAGGTGAAAATTATTTATTTGCTATCACGGAGGTTCTTTGTTGTCACACTGACCGTGTGTTTGTATGTATTTAACCTTAAAAGAAAACTGTGTAAATAACGATGTTCGTAGTGTATTCAGCTGACAAGTTCTACCGAAATTTATGAGTTCATTAAATACTGCTTTTTTCACAGTTGTTGCTTGTTTTCAGTTAATTATAGGAGAGAAACATTTCCAATGAATATGTAATAAACTATTGTAAGAATTTATTTTGAAAGCAATACTTGCATCTTTATTGAGCTATAATTACAGTTGAAAATAAAAATATGACTGAAACACAATAATGACAGACGAATTCTGAAATAATACTAACATAATGTTTGCTACAAAATCATAGACAGTTCTATAATAGAATTATCACTGCATTCAAAAACTTATAGTAATCAGTATATTTGTTTAGTGAGAAAGTAATCGTAGTGAAAAAGTTGACCATAAGACAAATAAGAAATTTAAGACGTCTATATACTACTATATATACTATATTAAGAAGAAAGATATCTGAAACCTTAGACAAGATTATTAATAAAGTAGGAATTAGGACGACATTCAAACCTTGAAACACACTTAGAGAAACCTTTCGTGGGCTTGAGAAGCTGACTTATGCAACTAGAAAACACCTTGTATTGGCTATGAGGTCAACCTGATAGATCGTAAAAGAGGAAACAACGACACAGGAAATTCTCCTTTCAAAAGCTCTACTGTCACATTTAAATTCAACAGATAATTTATAAAAGTAATCAAATTTTGGTAACCGTTTTCTAGATAGTGCTTTACGTAGTGTGAGGGGCAATCTAGGAGGGAATGCGAGTTAAGAAACGAAAGCTGGTAACACGCAACAACAAGTTTGGAACTGAATTATATGACTATACTAAATTTAGAAAATAGTGGGAATATAGTTAAGTGTTTATATGAAATCTATATGAGAAGTACAATGTTTAATAAGTAATAATTATGATAATAAATTATAGTTATAAGTACATTAAAAGACTCAGTATTAGACCGTTAAATGAAACAGAATTACAGCACTTATTTTGCCCTGTCCATGATAGAGCAGACGAATATATGTACTGCTTTCGATCACAGAGGTCTGGTCTGGAGTCCTAAGTATCCAATGTCCCCACTGTTTATAAGTGGAGTGCTCAAAGCTCCTTTGTGGGTTTTTGGGGAACTCAATTTAGCACTTCGTAAAAATAAAACGGGAATTGATAAGATCCTCGACGATAGCACCAAAAATATGTCTTAAATTTCAAACACAGTGACTTTTTTTCTGCTTCTGTTCTTGTACAGCAAAGTAAGTAGGTAAACATAGCATCAAATCCATAAATGTGTTTAGGCACACTGCCCAACCTGGTTAACAAGAGGAGGAAAGACTGATTTCAATTTTGCACACGTTAGGTAGCATCAACCTCCATTTCTCAACTCCTCATCCTCTTCTTGATTATCCCTCACATTAGCTAAAACGTTATCTACAATAATAATAATAACTAATATTTGAATGGTTTTATGAGTTTTGTGTTCAATATAAATGTTACAGTACGGTTTTCAAAAGCGATCCACAGAAAGGAATGAGGCTGCTAGCCTCATGTCCAACCTTCCTTCTTTACCGGCTCTACTACCAGCCTAGTAAGTTAAAGGTATGCGCCGGCCGAGAATCGAGCCCGGACTACGGGTGTGGTCGGCGAGCATTCTACCACTGTGCCACCGACGCACTCATTGAGTATTTGATCATTTCACAACTCTATAAAAGATTAAACAAAACACCAATTGACAAAAAAAAGATTACCTCATCTCCTTTCATTGGCTCAAAGTGATATTGAACAGGCTTATCAAAATGCGGTGAAGACTTCAAAAAATCCTCCCAAGCATTGATTCGATTTATCTATCCATTTGATAATATAAAAGGATTTCAAAAATCAGTAAATTGACTTGTTGTTATTATTAGTAGTAACAATTTCAGTAATAATTACACTCATAAACACTATGAGAAATGAAGGTAAGCAGCCTCACTTATACGCGTAAACATCAACTATGATGGTTAAATAATCCTAGCGGCCACATCATATAAAGAATGGATCAAAAAAAGTTAATTTAAAAGGCTTAATTTCAAGTTTTTTTTTCAGTTGAATTTCATGTAGGTGTACTTGCTAAATGCCTGAAATAATCATTTTATGAAAACTACAATAGATAAATACCTCACATTGCATAAAACATAACTCATAAAACAGCAAATAAATTTTTGCTGGAGAGAATAGATTTAAGAATCAAAGGATGCTGATTATTTATTTCATCGTGTTTTTCGTGTATAATGATTCATTAAAGTATATTTTGAATTCTGAACTGCATTCCTATGGTTAATCCTTTAAAATCCAGTCAATCTGTCAACTTTTGAACATCACCTAATTATGGCATCTACAATACTGTAGCTATGCGCCAAAACCAAATGGGTGGAATATTTTGAAATACAAATTTATTCTGTAATCTGGCAATAAATCTCAGGGAGTATTGTCATTGGTAAAGAGAGATTTTGTTGGATTATACTGTTAGATAACTGTCAGAACAAAGGAGTCAATTACTGTTTTATTATTATTATTTCCTTAAGTTCCTAGAAGGACACAGGGCCTCAGCCACATGTTTAAGTTGTGTTTTTGGTTCTCCACCGACGTTTCACCTGGCTCCAAGTCTCCCATTATTCATCTCTTCTTCGCATCACCTCCTTCAGGTAACCTCGCACTGACGACCAACTCGTCGCTTATCATTGGGGTTCCACTCGAGTTATGGCCTGGCGTGTGATGTCAATCGATGGTTTTCTCAGAGTATGGCTAATCCACCTCCATTTCTTCCTGCATATTTTTTGAAGTAGTCAATTAGTCTCTATTTATTCGGGTCTCTTGTCTGAAGTCTTCTCAAAACTTACTAATTATAGAGCAGTAAAAATAAATCTCCGAATCACTTTCACATGACATGTTTAAGCAGCATGTTATGTTAAAAAAGTTTTAAAAAGCAATTTATAAAACACTTCGCTTAAAAGATGTTTCTTGTTTCTTGGTATTCAAAAGCAAATAGAACCTACAATCCTTTTGGGAATAAATAACTTCAGACTGATTTCGACGTATTTCGCTGTTTTTTTATGCCGAATTCCTACTCAAAGGCCACTGCTGATCGTATTTATTTGTCGAATGTTTGATAAATCGAGCTGCAATAGTGATTACGCTTCACATTTGAATTCTTTTAATACACTGAATTCGGCAGCATATTATTTGTTGCCTTTCAATGATACATTTTCATCACGAGAAGAAATATATTTGCTAATATCTTTATTCATTTCGTCAATGTATCTAAACACGGAGTGTGGAAACTTAAACCATATGCAGAAAATGAGTAGTTGGAAGTCAGTGACATCAACCAACAGCAATCTTCCACCAGAGTGAGGCGATGCAAATGAATAACGGTCGACCTTTACATATGTAAATTACATATGACGTTCACTAGCTGCAAGTTGCTCTCTACCTCTGTAAAAGATAAGCTACGCCGTCTGGTCGCCTCCATGTGCATCTAACAGTTCACCTGCTCTTGTGGAGCAAGGTACATTGGCCGTGGTCAGAGGACGTTTTCCACATGGTTACGAGAACATATTCCAGCATGGTTTCATAAGGGAGAAAGGAAGTGTGTGCGAAGCTCTATTCTGGAACACCTGATCGACTTCTGTCACTCTGTCAACCCTCACCATGATTTCAAGATCATATATCGAATCCAGGCTAACTTCTGGCGTTTTCTTCGTTACAGACTTCTAAAAAGACAGCTGACGCCTTGGCAATTCATGGCTTTAAGCCAGGCAGACCTTTGTGTACAAAAGAAGTAGGTGCAATCCCTACATTTGCCTCAGCCATAGAAGAATAGACATTTATTTATTTTGTTTATTTGGTCATTCTATATACTTTTCCCTTATTACTACGATTATCATTATTATTTCTTTCTGAATCTTTTCCACTTGACCCACTGGTCATTTTAAACCCAAAATTATTCATTTTTATATTTTTTTTTTTACAATATTGAATTCTATTTTATCAAATTTCACACCATGTTATGTAACATTTTATATTAGTCTACTAATCCTATAATTATGTACCCCTTTCCAAAATCTATACACCTTATGTATTATTCTATATATGACATTAATTATTTTGCCACTTAACATTAAACTATGATTATAATCACAAATATTTTAATTGCATTTCATACCATTATTATTATTTCACGTATTCACACGTTTGACCTAATTCCCTCACCGGATATAATTTCTTAAAATAAAACCATATATATACGATTGTACAGCATGATAATACATTCTTATTAGTTTATTGGGCAAATTGGTAGTATGAGGGATACGATCGGCTATGTGGAATTTCATCATTTCTCTTAGAGACTTGGAATATTTAGATTATGGCGTGTGACCCCTTCGATACTGCAAATAGTTCACCTTATTGAGCAGACGCTAAAATAAGGAATATCACATAAATTATAGAATTTAAGATAAAAAATCATACTGTTTTGATGACTGGTATGGTTTTCAACACTAGAAGGTCAAGGCTAAAGAAGCAGCACAACTAACTCTTTCTGGAGCTAATAATTTTATGGAAATGTCATTCTTTTAAAGTAATACTACCATCTACTTTAAGCATGAACAGGAATGATTGGAAGTTACAGAGAAACAAAATTATCTAGTGATCGGTTATTACTAAATAATCTTGGATCTCCATAAATATTAAGGGTGTTTGTGTTAATCATTTGACTCGATTATAATTAAACAGCACATCCGATGACACTGTAATACTATAAGTGTTAGCTTTACTTATAATAATTACATTTTATGACACTTTAAGATCAGAGTGGAACTGCCATAGTGATGGAGTGGACGGACTCGAAGTGATCTAAAGTGCCATACATAGTAGAATGAATGTTTCTGTAGGTCCTACCATTCTAAAAAGGTTGGTTGGGTAGCAGTTAAACAAAAACCAATTACTATCACAGTGAAGGTTTCTTACCTAATGTTCAAGTTGAATAACTAGCCGAAAAGGATATAATATCAACAAGATGTTTCCATTCAGTGCAGCAGTAAGCCAGCTCTGGTGCCTTTCCATTCTGACAAGGAAGCATCATAAAATGTCAGTGTTAGGCGAAAAGCCAGTTAATGCACAACCTCAAGTGGTTTTTCCTTGGGCTACGCAGTCACACAACCTGATAAACCAAACATATGATCTATCACCAACTTCCGAAGAGAACCTGCAACAGTTCAGGTCGGTAGTCCTCGACAGTTGCCATAAATTTATGAATACCAAACCAAATGGAAAGTCAATACTGACCGAAAAACACTATAAAGAGCTCAAGGAATTAATAAACAACAAAGAGATTATTCTGTTACGCCCGGATAAAGGTGGGGGAATCGTAGTCATGAATCGTGAAGACTACGTAAGTAAAATGCTGACCATCCTATCCGAAGAATCTAAATTCATAAAACCAGCAAAGGAAAAGAACATGACGGAACAAACTGAACAAAAACTAACGAACCTTCTCCGAAAGCAAATCTCCCGCCACTCACTTCGAGACTCCTTCGATTTTGTCAATTCCATTGAAAACGTCAGCGTTTCCAATCAAACCATGTTCTCACTAGATGTGGTATCACTGTTTACAAACGTCCCACTAACCGAAACAATATGCTATATATGTGAATATATTGATTCAAAGGAGATGAACATTGGTATACCCACTGACTATTTGAAGGAACTCCTATTAAGATGTACCCTAAACGTCCAATTCACTTTCAATAATGAAATATATAGACAAAAAGATGGTATAGCTATGGGCTCACCACTCGGCCTGCTGCTTGCAGATATTTTCATGTCAAAACTAGAAAATACACACCTAAAGAAGATAATAGATAACTTCGGATTCTACAAGAGATACGTGGACGATACTTTTATTATCGCCAATAATGAGGAAAATTTGGAGAACATATTGGACTTCTTCAACAGTTGCCATCCAGCAATCCAGTTCACACTAGAGAAGGAGTCCAACGCAACAATATCTTTTCTGGACGTGCAACTAGCAAGACGCGAACAAGATGGGACACTCAAAAGATCCATTCACAGAAAACCGACATGGAATGGACAACTCATCAGCTTTCACAGTTGGGTGCCTATATATACAAAACGAAATCTGATCCGCTCACTGACTCACAGAATCCACAACATTTGCAGTCCGGAAACTATAGAAGAAGAGCTGAAGACCCTGAAAAGAATCCTCCTTGAAAACGGTTACCCGGAACGTTTCATCACAAAAGCTATGAAGCCCAAAACACAAAAACCATCCATGCTTACTGCTCCCAAGAAACTTCTCTATTTGAATCTACAATTCAACGGAGATTCTTCAGCAGAAATACTGAGAAACCGCCTGTGCCGTTCACTGAAGAAAACCTTCTTCGCAGCGGAACTCAGACTAACTTTCTCTACGAAACCAATGATTCGCACGAACGTGAAGGATAAGCTTCCACTGGGGGCCTCATCAATGTGCATCTACCAATTCACCTGCTCATGTGGAGCTAGGTATGTCGGCCGTACCCAGCGTTTGCTATCCAAACGAATCAGCGAACACTTACCTTCATGGTTTTATAAAGGAGAAAGAAGATCCCCCCGCCACAGCTCTATCCTAGAACACTTGATCGAATCCGGACACCAAGCAAACCCACAAAACAACTTCTCAGTTATCTACACAATACGTGGGAATCTTGCCAAAAGAGTACGAATTAAACTTCTTCAAACTGCAGAAGCAATGGCAATTCACATATTGAATCCTGAACTCTGCATACAAAAGAAGTTTGTTCAGTCACTAAATCTACAATGGTCCTGATCTATCTTAACACCAAATACGTAATTTTGTCTTACCTCTTTCTTCTTTGTTTGTCTATTTCTTAATTGCATTATTTTCTACCCCCACCCTCTATTAAATCTCTACGCTCATGACGACTGTTGCTAACTCGATTTTCGTTTATTTTTAAGTGAATTCTACTCAGCTTATTAACTTGACTCTCATTCATTTTTTCATTGAACCCTATCAATTAGATTACGTCACCCAACCTACTTTTGTAACTTTATTTTAGTTTCTAACCGATTAACGCCTTCTAAATTACGTAATTTGTTTGTCAAAAAATTAACAATTGCATTAACACACCTTTGGAAATATTCTTTTTGTTGCCAAGACAAATTACTATAAATTTGCGATTTGTACAGCTTGAGAATGATATCGCCGAAAAGAGTAACTCTTTGCTGAACACCTTTTCTTTTCTATGACTGTATGGGAATTTTCAAGTTACTAAAACGTTGCAATTCGTATGTGTCATATACGGTGGATATGTTTTAGTTAATGGAGTATGAGGATTCTATGCTATCCTATTACTTATGGCTTTCACCAGGTACATTGTTTTAGTATTAATTCAATACTGCTTCACTACAGATTTAATGACTGAAAGTATTACTACAATCATCTTCACCAAAGTAAATGGATAAACTACTTGCTGTACATTATAATTAGTTGTAATCTGTTTTAAATCATACTCATCTCTTAGGGAATCATTTAATTCCACTTTAATGCATGTCTACGTTTCATTCTAAACATAATTATTAATTTCCTGTATTATTTAAATGATGTAGTCGACATTAATCAAGCATAATCTTCACAAAGTGATACTATAATATGAACCGGTTGCTACTGATAGACGCTAAAGTTTTAAAAGTGAAAATTTTTAGATTATGTTATTTTGCTTGGTCCCTTGCGTGCAATGGATATAAGATGTCTAGTCCTTAGTTCCGTCAACCACGTTTACAGTGTTGCCATCGAACTGGATGATTTGCACTTTGAATTCATGTTGGGTATTAGGATATAATCGACAGGAAGCCGTGAACTGGAACCGTGTACTTATTGACACTTGTCAAAATAGTGTACGTGTAACCTCGAAGGGATTAATGTTACTTTTGAGATTTAAACCAACGTCATCTATTGCTTAAGTCTGAACTCTATGGATTGCCTCATTATTAAGGCATAATTGATAAGTAGAAGAAAGTACACGTGTTGATTTTCAGGGATTTGATTTAACTGGTTACAAGGTTTCATCATGAGCTGACATCCGCTAGAGAACCATTAGAAAACTTTGAAGTACTGGACGGAGGTTACGTTCTTTTTAGGGACTTTTCATCAGTACTCACCCACCACCAGGGTTTGAACTTAGGATCTTCCAGCTGCAAGACAAGCTCGCAGACCATCAAGCCATTGGGGTCCGGTCCTAAATCTCAGTTTCTGAGAATTCACGATATATCACGACCACTAGCCAATATCATCGACGAGAATTAGTCCTCATACCCTACCTGCTGTACCCCACTGATTACGAGTTCCCACTAGAACCTACCTGGATAGGACCATTATCTGGCAAAAAGGAAATTATACTCAACAAGTACTGAGATCAGTACTGTTGCTACCGACATAATAAAATATTGAGCAAATTCGTTTGAAGGAAGAGGTACTCAGCTCCAAGGAAATGAGTCTGATCTTGATAACTTATTAATGAAACTTTTGAAATAAAAAAGCACATTACGCAATAATTTGAAAAAATATCACATACGTGTGATGCTTCCTTCAGTAGGGCATCAAATCGTTTTTGTGTATTTGTACAAAACTCAATCTCGTTTTCACAAAGTGTTGTGAAAGCTTCTCCCATTTTTTCGTATAATTCACCGTCTAATGTCTAAATTAAAAGGTAAGAAAAAATTCCTTGATCAAATTACGACAACAACTTTTAATTACCAGATAATTGTAGTTTATCCGTATAAACTCTTTATAAACTAGGCTGATTAAAACTGCTTGATACTGTTAGTCACCAAGTGACATTATCTGCAGAACGACTGAAAATTAAGGAATTCTGTAAGCATGCTTTATCGAAGTTCTGAGCAACTCATGAACATTCACTGATAGATGTTTGATAGCTTAAGCTTATAAAGGGGATATGTCACTTTCAGCTGTCAGTCTAACATTCAATGTTCCATAAATTCTAACTTCATCGAATTCCATGTTAAATATTTTTTGTAAATAGTTTATATTAGTATCCTTAGTTCCGTATGTTTTACGCATCTGCTCTAAATCAGATATAGCATATTAATTTATTATTAGTTTCTAAAACGTCAGACAAAAATTTATTTATTTACTTTAGACTTGAGCAAAATGGCGATAGTGAACATCTGTGAAAGAGGAAAACAGGCACTATCTTAACTGAGAGTAGAATCTTAAGAGCTCTTGTACAAAAACAAATACTTGGGCATTTGGTATTTATTGATATGACATTCCAAAAGATAAAATCATGCACAGTTTCCGGGCAGATAAAAGTGACCAATTAAGAGACATAGTAAGTATGGTGATGTTTAAGAATTCAATGGAGATTATAGATACAATATACCCTCTTCTATGTCCGAAATCTGTCTAATTTTCTAAATAGTATCATTAACATGCTTCATTTGGTCAGTGAATGACTACTGGATCTAAAAACCAAGTTAATCCATCTTATTTCTCTTGAACTAAGACAAGAAAAAATGGCTTTGTTCATAAAATGGAACGACAGATCACCCTGACCAACCAGAAGAGACTACACTTGAATTTCCTCTATTTTTACCTAAACACTTATTTATAAAACAGATCTACATTAGGATATGGTTTTGTTGTAGCAAGTAACGTGTACTGGACGTCGATTCGCTCATAGCAAAAGGTGTTTGACTGACTTATTTCACCATCTTTCTTCAAGGTTGACCAGTAACTTGTCTATTCTGATCAAATTTTCATCTGTCACTATCCATAAGTAATTTAAAATTTATTCATCATTGAAAAGCATTAATCCCTGTACTGTTTCCTTTGCTTCCCTAATTCTATATGGTTCTCATTTGTTTCTCAGTGAATGATTTAATTACCTTGTGTGCTATACCAAATAAAGTCGAAAGAAATAAGTCAATCACGACCAGGAACAGAAATCCCACTGTTCTTTCGTTTGAATTCGAATGAAAATAGTTTATTGTCAACCTTTATCCTCTTCAGTACAGTAGATATTACTGCAAACTGCATAATATTTATAACAGCTAGTGTGCATCGTCTACCACCGGACCTTGTCCTTGGACAGTGCTTGGTGAGAGTCTTCACTTTAACATTCGCTTGTCTTTCTATACAGAGGCATACGTATTAGTCATTTGGCGATTTCTTCCTTACTAGATACTTAAAAAAGTATCTACCTACCTTCTGTTTGTTCCAAAAACAAGATGGATCCGATAGTGAAACAGAATCGCATCTGCATTAATATGGTAATATAAATAAAATGGGAGACATACGGTGTTATCAAATTCAGAATGCTAGAGAGTTGTGTGTCATACTCTGATAGATTCAACAGCGTATTCAAACTAGAGAGATATTAGTAAGCCAGATATAAAGTATGATTTGTATTTGTATCTAATAAACATAAAAGCAGGACAGTTCCCCGCAATTTGTACAAATAATTATCTTTGTTGATATCTATTGTTGATGAAGAAAGCACTTTCACTAACCCCCTACCACAACTTCTTTATATAATGTCTGCAGTATTACTGTACTGTATGCAGATTTGAGCTTCAGAACATCTACCATTCTATGTTGTTGAGAGTTAGTGGATAATTAGAGTGAAAATTCCGCTTAGCATCGCCCTATTTCCAACGGTACAAATTTAAAATGGAGTTTACTACATCATCTTCAACTATTCGTACATAATTGAACGCAGCTAGCCAATAATGAAAACTAGATATAGCCAGAGAAGAATTCATGCTTGAAAAGATGTAAATGATAGTGATATATTAATGACGTTTATTCAAGTTAATATAAACTCTACTATTGCTTAACAACTCCGTCATCTACCTACTAGTCATTGGATGATGAAAGGTGTAGCTAATCAACTATTATTACTTATGAAAGCCTACGTGTAAGAACTGAAAGTTGACTACAAATGAGGTATTACGTGTTAAGGCTGATAAACTCCAAATATAATTAATATTAGGAATGTGACAGCTAAATCAGTTACGTATATGTATATATAAATTATCCAATTGTTTATTTTAAAGAAATTACTTTTGCTAAAACTGGTAAATCCTCACTAAAGTAATGCTTTAAATGAGCATTGATTGCTGTTAATTGAAATAAATATTCATTTTTTGCAGTAGCCGATCGTGCATCAAATGCTTGACGTTTACCTAAAAGCTGAAGAAATAAGAAAAATAAAAGGAAACAAACAATGAGGTGAGTATTATTGTCTTTCATTTGTTTTTAACAGGAGATAACAGTAAGTTAAAAAATGCAAAATATTCTGATTAGCCATAAGATTAATCTTATTAACCTAGTAGTTGCCAAATCACACTCAGATTATAATGATTTATGCAGCGAAAAACAACTCTTCCGATAAATATACGCTTTCATTGGAAAACCTGGTAGTACTTCACGGCTGTTTTGTCCTAGTTAAGGACGCCTCATCAGTACTTACCTGCCAGGGTTCTAACCCAGGACCTTCCGGTTACGAGGCGAGCTCATAGACCAATAAGACACAGGGATCCGCTCCAGCATCCCATGAATTCCAACTTCTGCAGATTCACGATATTCTAACCAACGTCAGCTCACGATGAGATCTGGTAATCAATCGAATCAAATCCTTACAAACTAACACCTAAATATGCATAACTCCATTATGGATAAGATTTATCAAAATAAAATCCTATCCATAATGGAGTTATGCTCTACCACAGTGCCCAAGTTTTATACTTATACGTAAATATTCACTTCATCATTTCAAAGACGATAGATGACAATTTAGGAGACCAGTTACTTACACTGCGTACAAAACTTTGGGACCCATCAAACCAAACTGCAAGCCTAGCAGGATAGATGGTGGCAAAATTTCCAGTTGACACCAACGAGAAAACGAGTTTAAAGTCTTTCAAGCGTTGTAAGTAACCGGCCACCTGGATTTCTACAAACTTAATACTTATGACTATAAACCGGTAAGCAATTACTTCTTGTAAGTCAGAAATTTACTTACAGTACAATTGTTTAAAAGTAAATATATTTCACTTGTAAATCAGCTATACGAACACATATACATATACAACTGCCTTAATGTTAACCTACGGGTGAATATGCATGTTTCAGTGTAAATGATGTCCATATAATAGTCTTCACGACTTGCAATCCTAGCAGTACTTTTTTTTCTACATATTAGCATATGTTTCCAATGAATTAACTAGCCAGACTGCAGAATGCTTCCTCATCCACCTACCTCCAAAAACATATAGTTAACATATCTAATATCTTCTCTAAAAAGCACTTTATTTCACACGAGAAAATGTATATGATTAGGAATAACAAGGATAATAAAAGATTACTTCTTCTGTAAGGATAGATTAAACTCAAATCTGACTATTGAAAAACCAAACAAAAACAGCTATAAATAAGAATCCGTCATGCGATAATAATCTAGCTAACTGTCTAACCCGAAGTTCTGACCACAATAAATAGATCAAGAATGCAGATTAATCAGTAAAAGTATCCCTAAAATCACTCAGGGCTTTTTTTCAGCTTTCATATTTGGAAGTGAACGTTTCATCTTTAGATTAAATGACTTCGTCAGTATTTCCTCGTGATCTATTGTCAAAGCTACGAGAATAGTAATAGGTTTTGTCTTCTTTTCGAGCTACAAATCGTTTCTCAACTATTTCTTAAATTCAAGTGTTGGTTTGTAGGGATTTCATTGGTTACAGGATTCTATCATGAGCTGACATTGGTTAGAGAACCATTGGAAAACCAGGTGGGAGTACTGGACAGCTGTTTGGTCCTAGTTTGGGACTCTTCATCAGTGCGCACCCACCATGGTTCGAACCCAGGGCCTTCTGGTTACAAGGCGAGTTCGTAAACCAATAAGCCACTGGGACCTGATCCAATGGCCCACGAATTACAACTTCTGCCAATTCACGACATAGCGCGACCCCCAAGTCAATGTCTTATTTCTTAAATTATTATCATCAATATTACAGATAAAAACGACGCGCTTCAATAAATAAATACTACACAGCAACAAAGGCTGACAGCTGTTCTTAAAACAATGCATAACGATTTTTAGGCCTGTTTCATTCATTCAGATTTAAGCATCTATCCAGCATAATTAGTCCTCAAACAACAGATATAGCTTATTGTCTAGCATTGGAGAACATGAGACCGCTGATTGATATTTCAGTTTCATTTTATTACGTAGATATTGAGGATACGTGACATACAGATGCAGAGATCAGTAGCTGAGTTAGTAGCTAATAGTGGTTACCTACTTGAATCATTGAAGAAAGAGCTCAATAAAGTAAATGTGACTATTTGACGCACACACAGTATGTTGCATATACTATATCATATAACTAATATTAAATTGCATGGAGGATTTCATCATGAGCTGACATCAGTTAGAGAACCACTGAAAAACCATCTGGAAGTACTGGACAGCTTTTTCGTCCTAGTTTGGGACTCTTCACAGTACGCACCCACCGGGGTCCGAACCCAGGGCCTTCTAGTTACAAGGAGACCTCGAACCCCGGTAGGTCCGTACTGTGAAGAGTCCCAAACTAGAACAAAACAACTGTCCAGTACTCCCAGGTTTTCTAGTGGTTCTCTAACTGATGTCGGCTTATGATTAAATCTCCCATGCAATCAAACAAACTCCCTACAAAACCAACACTTGAAAATTAATATTAAATTACTCCTATCAGATGAAAAATTTACTTTTCATAATCTTATAAATGAATAAATAAAACATATAAGTGTGTGTTAACAGTTACCTTATCATAATTTTTGTGTAATTGTGCCATAGAATGAAATATATCAGTAGATCGTCGCTGAATCCTGTAAAGGACAAAAAGTTATTGTATAATTAGGATTGCTGAGTTACTTCCTTGGCGACGAACGGGGTGAAGAAATATTTCCTCTGATTGAGAAATAGGTTCTATACTAGAACGAAACAATTCTTCAAAACTTACTCAATAATATCGATTTTCACACGTCTAGAGGGTGATAATTAATCAGCAAACTTAAGGACAACAGTTATAGAGTACGTGTGACTACACTATAAAATTGTGAGAATTAAAATTGATGACTGCATAATAAAAGCAAAGCTTGTCGTTTGTGCTAGTGCAATGTTGCCTGGGTTGTTTTTTTTCATATCCAACCTTGCTGATAAGGTTGACTTGATAACAATGGAACTGAAGATAGCTACTCTTAAAATATGAAAACATTGAACAATAGTTTTGAAAAGAGAAGTAGGGTGTTTCCCACAAATTCGATTACTAATAATACATCGACATACTTATGTCCATAATACGGATCAAGTGTGAATCACTTCTCAAATTGACATAACATGGTAAATGGATTCAGAAATTGTGCGTACGTTTGTCTTGATGACACTGCAAAAGATAAGATTTCGTATAATTCTTTAATTATTTTTTTCTATTAGATGTAGAAGAATCTCATTTACATGATGACGTTTCATAATAATAGTAGCTCCTCAATAGCAGTGAGAAGACAAAAATAACAGAGGTTTATTATTATTATATCCTTTAATTCCTAAAGGAACATTGGGCTTCAGCTGCGCATCTCCATCGCCTTCGGTTTTCTGCCAACTTTTTTCACCCCACTACAAATCTGCCCACATGCTCTCATCTCATCTTCACACGACCTCCTCCAAGTCACCCTCGAAATGACGACCAACTCGCCGCTTCCCTTTCGGGTCCCACTCGATCAATGGCTTGTCTAGTGATGTCACTTGATGGTTTCCTCAGCGTATGGCCAATCCATCTCCATTTCTTTCTGCCTATTTGTTTCACAATCGGTTTCTGGTTGGTTCGCTCACAGAGATCCCTGTTTGTGATCTTTTCTGGCCATCTAATCTTGAGTATTGAGCGAAGACAACTGTTAATGAAGGTCTGAAGTTTGCTTGAGATGCTCTTTATGACGCGCCAAGTCTCTGATCCGTATAGTAAGCAGCACTGACTGACTTCAGATTGGACTTGAAAATCCAGATGTTATTTTTGATGATGAATGCTGTTGACCTCCATACAGAATTGAGAGTAATGAAAGCTTGTCTTGCTTTTCCGATTCTTGCTTTGATTTCCTCGTCAGTTCCGCATGTAGTTGAAACGATGCTTCCCAGTTAGGTGGGTAGGTGAAGGAGGTTGTTTATTTCAGGTTCCTCCCGTTTATGCTGGCTGATTGTTGTTGCTGTTGGTGTTGGCCAGGAATCTTCATCACCTCTGTTTTCTCTATGTTCACCTGAAGTGAAGTCCTATCTTCTCTGGATGCTTCTTCTGCCAACTTGTTGCTTTTCACTTGCATATCTTGCAGTTTGTGGGAAATCAGATATATATCATCGGCGAAGTCCAGATCCTCCAAGTTTTTTGTGTGAGTCCATTTTATGCCTGTTTCCTCATTGTCCGTTGTTTGTTGCACTAAACAGAGGTTTATGTAAATATTATACGATCAAATAACTGATATAAAAACAGGAAGGAAATTAAATTTCAAAATGTAAAATACGAGAAAGAATCATTAGTGGACTACACCCTTAACTTACTTTTCTCTAGCAGCAAGTGTTTTTAAACGAGTTTCTTGTGCTTGTTTCTCTTCCTCTGCATAAACTTTATGCGACTTTACCATTTCTTGAACACATGCAGCGAGATCTCCCTAAAATTATGAAAATATAGTTAAGGAAAATGTATTGAAAAAGCCTATAGAATTCAATATTCTGCTCCGGTAGTTTTATTACACTGATACTAAACACAAGGTGACTGTATGGAATTAGTAAAGTGAATAGTTCAGAAAAGCAAAAAAGGTATTAACAATTGAATCCAACCAGGCGACTTCAAAATTATCGTTTTGTATCCATTACACACTAATCATGAATACTGGCGAAGAGCAGTATGTCTGAAGAAAAATTCATTAAGAGAAGAGAATATATGATGTGGTGTGGCTAACTAGCAAAGAAGTCTGTGGGGAATAGTAACAAACTAAACTTTTATCTCATATTCTGTCCCCCCCCACACACACACACATGAAGGACGCGATACACATGTAGATTACTCAACTAATGCATATCAATAACTATGCTCATCGTTGAAGAAATAATAAATATGCTGAAATGATGGATATTTTCTACGAATTATCGCTCAAGTAATATTAGCATCTTAATGTTAAACATGTTATACTTCTTCTAAAATAGTATATATATATATATCATTTATGATATCCTACAGTCAGATTCACAACCATCTTAAATCATAACTTACAGAGATGTTATCTCGATTCCGCTTTTAATTAAATAGGTTTTCTTATCTGAAATGTTTTAATGCATGTCTTGGTTGAAAGCTTGTTTCATTTTCTCACTCTTTACATCATAATTAAAAACAAACGCAGCATAATCATTCGCTAGTTGAAGTGATATCCTAAAGTATTCTGTTTTTTTTATTGAAGTTAAATAGGTGGATTTAACACAGATTATAGGATAATTCCTTAATATCTCTTCTCTGTAAAAGTTGTCTGGGAAAAAAAACATGCTTACAATAATTCGTGCTCATATAAAATGAATCAAAAAGGAAACAAAAGTGAGATTCTAATTCAAGGCATATAAGAGAAGCCTTCAAAAAGTTTAAAAGTTAACGCATATACCACAAGTTTTTAATAGTTTAAACAGCATAATGCATCACTTTATGCTTGAGAAATAAAATGAAGCTAACAAATAAAAATGTTTGAAACCATTTTTGTTTTAAAAACAACAAGAAAGTAAGGCGAAATAGGTAATACAGAAGTACCATTTAAAGGTAAACTTAACACAAATGATAAAGAATAAGAAACATTCAGCCCTATTTTAAAAAGCTGCTGGCCGAAAATGATTGAAAAACAAAGTATACTGGACAAGTGTTCTGTTGTAGCTTAAGACTCTTCAGCAGTGAACAGTCAGGACTTAATGTTTCCAGTGGAATATTATAGAGTTTCAAGCTTTGGAGTTTTAACAGGGGTGATGTTGTTTTTATAAGATGAGGTTACTAGCGTTACGCACAACCTTCCTTCTTTATCGAACTTACTACCAGCTAGCTGAGGTTTAGCAATGCATCAGTTGGGAATCGAACCACGACCTCCTGGGCAGTTGGCTAGCATTCTACGAGTAAGCCACCGATGCACAATTGGTCCTATAGACAGCACTATATTGTTTAGCTATTCTCATAACATTCCCGTAGAAACCAGTGAAGTGTGAAAGCACTTAACTGCACGAATGTTTTCTGACAGGTCTCTCTTTGTTCACACGCACTCATTAACCGACTATTTTTAGAAGTAGCCTGTTCGATTTGAAAACAATTTAATTAATCTATACAATGGGTAGAATCTGTTCCTTTTATCACTTGTATTGTAGTCATAAATTTTGTGATATGACATTAAGATGAGCAGTTCTGTCAGGAATGAATAGACTTAAATGAATCTACTTATTTGGTATCACTCGCTTAAAAATAGTGACCTCATAGTCATCCGTTATTTGGAACTATACATTTACCGGGTTTGTGCTACACTAGTAATTATGATAGTTACTTCAACAGTGATCTTTAATTATAATTTCTGATGGTGAAATTATTTCACAGCTGACTGCTATGAAACAGACAGCGCATCAATGCCTAATTGGGTAGTTAGTGGTCGTGTTAAAAGCGGTGTAAATATTTATGTTTCTCTTAAATTCACACTTCTTTCAGAATTGAATTTTACCGTTTTGGTTACGTCACCTTTGATGTTAAAGAAGGTCCTGGGTTCGAATCCCGGTGGGTGCGCACTGATGAAGAGTACCAAACTAGGACGAAATAGCTGTCCAGTACTCCCAGGTTTTCCAGTGGTTCTCTAACTGATGTTAGCTCATGATTAAATCCTCCATGCAATCAAACAAAATCCCTACAAAACCAATACTTGAAAATTAATTAAGTTTTTCTTATTTCAGTTTTGTGTGTTGAAATATTCGCTGATACGTTACAGACACAACTTGTCTGTAAATCTTTTTGTTTCACGTAAGCTCTATAGTGCCCATTTCGATTATAAGAAAAACAGAATGACAGTTACACCGCTGGCAAATTCTTTCCTCGATGAAGTCATCTGTTAAGTCATACATTTGTAAACATATGAAAAAGGTGAGAAAATGTCAGAATTATTTCTGGTTAAAAGTCAAAACAAGTTGAATAACCTATTGAATGCACATAGTACGAACATAGATTCAGATTGGGAAAATAGACAAGAACTAAGGAGACAAACGAGTATATAATGGGCCACTAATTAGGAGACGCAACACGTTTTACTGACCATGATAAAGACTAAAACGTTTGCCCTTACATTTTAGGCAGATTATTGGCTTGAAATTTCTGATAGCTAATGTTTCAACTGCACGTACATGTCTTGATTTGAATGACTTTCAAGAAGACTTAGGAGTTCCGAAATAGAGTTTTCAGATCACAAGGTGTACATGCGGTTTCCGAACTAGAGACACACTTTCGCTCTCCCTTAACTGATTAGGCCGAGTAATGTTGAGGAGTGTTTTTTACTCCTTCAAAAGGATTTAGTGAGTCTTATTTTTTTCTCTACATTTACTGTACATGAGGTATATCTAACAGCCTTATTTACTATTTGGTTAAAAATATATCTCCTTCCTACTGCGTAGGTTAATTAATATTCTTTAGAAAGGTGATTGCCTTTAAATAAATAGGATTTATAAATACTGTCTCGTTTCACTAAGTTAAAGGTCAAGCAATATTATGCAAAGATGTAATACTTGCTTTACAAATCCCACGATGAATGCTTCCATGCTTATGAACTGACTGTATTGTTTTTGTTTTGTGTGCAGGATAATTAGAAGAGACGGTAAATTATTGAAATGCATTTCAAGAGCTTTTTAGAATACACAACAAAAAATTTGATAAACTGATGGTTTGCATTCGGATCACTAGAAGAAAAAATTGTTTCACACTGTCCTAATCATCATCTAACAGAAAAATTTTAAATCTACATAGGATACTACAGACCAGCATTAGTAGTAGAAACTACTAGATCTGATAAGCGAAATTTGCTAGCCATATCAGCGACATTTAAGCACCAAATGAACAAGTTATTTTCAAGGCTGGGTATTCAAACAGTTTCACTTCAGTAAACAGACTGATTGAGATCATCTAGGTTCCATAAACTACAAACCAGTCGTTGGTATTTTACTGAACAACATATTTCTTATGTTCATGGGATTTTCATTAAATATCACACTCGGCTATTCCTAATATAAACCTATTGCTACAACTTTCGAATAATTTTTAAAACTACACATCTGTGATGCATAAAAGTAGAAGCTTTGAAAGGTTCAATTATTGTTGGCTTAATAAGATTTGTATTTTCCTTTTTAGATGAACCAATAAAAGTGAATAATTTGATAATACTGCATTATAAAAATTAGGAAATTTCTCAAGCATATTAATGAGTATATTCTTACCTGAAGTATTTTCAGTTGTTCAAATACGCGTTTGTTAACTGATAAACGTTGAGATTTTAACGGTTTAAGTTCATTTGATAATCTTTGCTGATTATCTGATGCACGTAATCGAGATAAAGCTAAACTGTTCGACTCCGTTAATAATGAATGCCATATGTGCCAAACAGTTGGCTGTTTGCTAGACCTAAGGAGATTGGTCTTAGTGGGTGGATAAATAATTACTTACAATAGCATATCATTCTTTGAAGATGTGGACGATAAAAATTCTTTTTTAGATAAAAAGCTGTTCACAAGCTTTTGTAATGACTGTCCATATTCGCGTTCAATGACTGCTCTTTGTTTACAGTACATTCTAAAAAGAGCAAAACAATAACACTAAATGTGTATTGCTTTCATTAATTTGTAAAGCAAGACAAGATGTGAGAAAATGAATTTTTAATAAACACAAACTTAGCAGTAGAGAGCATCTATTATATGCAGGTAGGTAGTTACATATGCCGACCTTAGTCTTAATGCGTTGAATAAGTATAAAAGTTGGAAACCATACATTTAGAACGAGGAGAAGCAGCTCTGCTGAAACAAAATACAGCTCAGAAAGTTAGTTGACGAAAAGTTATGTTTCACCTTGGTAAATTACTGTGAACATTTATGTAATTCAGCTTTATTTATATGTAAATTTTGTGCTTACTAGCATCTTCAAAGAAATCTAGGAAATAATGCAACTGAATCGCCTTGCATTATAATATACAGTAAACGACCGTGTTAGACTGTAAACACGCACATTAATTAAGGTTAAGTTGTTAGTAGAGATGCTGGTTGACAAAATTCGAGAAGTCTACTGCTACATACAATTTTAGTTTCCTACTTCAGACTCAAAGTGCAGGGAGGCGGTGTTTTGCTTCTGCTCGCTTACAGAAACGCTTTTTTAGTTCCTCGTCATCAACGGACAGCTCTTATCATCATCATCCACTCTATTTTATTGATTTTTAAATTTTAAGGTGATAATGTTAGTGCTGTTACTTAGTACTACTAGCTGTTCTATTTATGTTTGTGTTGGCCAGTTTTAATCTGAATAGCTTCAAGAAACAGGTAGACACACACCAGCCGACCAATTCACCTGTCAAATTTCTATTTTTAGGTTTCGAAACCTAGTTTATTTTCTTAATCTGAAATATTTTTCATCCCCTCACTTTCCATCGCATCTATATGAACTGTTATTTTATAGTACTAGTTGTTGTGAACTTTTCTTATAATACGTATCTAATCGTATTCATATCTCTACCGCTATTAACACTCTTTTTTCCCTTTATACGTTTAAGCCATTCCGGCTTCATTGTAAAATGAATAAAGCCTAAATTCTTGGTTCATTCGTCTTTTCAAGATTCAAGCATCACTCATCGTTCTAAGACTCAATCACCTTCGTAACAATTTATTCATTTTACAATATTCATGGAACGATTTTTCCGACCTGATCGGTTCGACGTAGAACCTAACGCAGTTGGAGCTGCCAAGAAGTGGGATCACTGGTTTGCGACTTTTTCCTACTTCATTGAATCAATGGGATCCGAAAATCCTTCGAAACTACATATTCTCTTCAATCATATTTCTACTTCTGTATACGAATGCATTTCTGAATGCAAAACATACGAAGAAGCTATCGACACTCTCAAGAGTCTCTACATGCAGCCTTGCAACGAAGTGTTTGCTCGACACTTGTTAGCAACGTGTAAACAAGAATCTGGCGAAAATCTGGATCAGTTTGTTCGTCGACTCAAGTCGCTGACTACAGATTGTTCATTCAGGGCAGTTACAGCCGAAGAACATCGTAACGAATCTCTACGTGATTCATTCATCTCAGGTATACAGTCTTCGATGATACGCCAGAGGCTATTAGAACAGCGTACTTTAACTTTTCAAGCGGCATACGATCAAGCACGAGCTCTAGAGATGGCACATCAACAATCGCAGTCATACAACAATCCTGTTACACCTTGCGCGTCCATTTCTTTACATGATGTACCTCATTCATCAGATTCCACACCCTCCGTCAATGAAACAACCATTGCTGCCGTTGAATCCAAATGCTTTTTCTGTGGTAATCGTAGACATCCTCGTTCCAAATGCCCCGCCCGTGATGCAGTTTGCAAAGCTTGTGGCAAGCAAGGACATTTTCAGAAGGTTTGCAGGTCTGCGCCATCTACGAAAAAAGGTCCATCTTCAGTTAACTCTATAATTTCATCTCTCGTTGTGGCTTCAGCACCTCAAAGTCTCACTGATGCTGTTACGCAGCTTACTGTCAATGGGAAATCAATGCAAGCTCTAGTGGATACCGGAAGCAGTGAGAGCTACATCTCTTCCTCAGTTGTTCGTAAGTATAACTGGAAAGTCCATAAGTCTCGAAACAGAATCACAATGGCGAGTACGAATCTTACTAGTCATACTGAAGGACATTGTTTTCTATCCATCTGCTATAAAAACCACACTTATGATCTATTCAAATTTTCCATTCTTCATAATTTATGTGCAGACGTCCTTCTTGGACATGATTTTTTAAAACTTCACAAACACATTGAGATTCCTTTTGGGGGATCAAAGCCGCCTTTTTCTCTCTGTGGTCTACCTTGTGTTCGCGTCGACCTGCCTACTCTGTTTGAAAATCTTTCAAAAGACTGTAAACCGATCGCGATAAAATCCCGGCGTTATTCTCGTGAAGATGAAAGTTTTATTTCCACCGAAGTCAACCGGTTACTGCAAGAAGGTGTTATTGAACCTTCTAATTCTCCTTGGCGAGCTCAAGTTCTTGTTACGTCAAACGAACGCCATAAAAAGAGGATGGTAGTTGATTATAGTCAGACAATCAATCGATTCACTTTTCTGGATGCTTACCCATTACCTAGGATTGACGAAATGATAGAAAAAATCGCACAATATGACATATTCAGCACTCTTGATCTGAAGAATGCTTATCATCAAATTGCCCTAAGGAACGAAGATAAACCATATACTGCTTTCGAGGCTTGTGGGAAACTTTACCAATTTTGCCGAATTCCTTTTGGTGTTACCAATGGCGTAGCTTGTTTTCAACGCATTATCGATGAATTGATCAGTAAAGAACAACTCACAAGCACGTTTGCCTACATTGACAATGTCACTATCTGCGGCAAAACTCAGGAGGAACACGACAAAAATCTAAACAAGTTTATGGTAGCAGCACGCAATTATGGAATAACCCTTAATGATTCCAAAAGTGTGATCTCAAGCAGAAGCATACAATTACTCGGTTATGAAGTTTCAAAGGGGTTATAAACCAGATCCCGATCGGCTAAAACCTCTTCGTGATCTAGAACCACCCACAGATATCAAATCTCAACAACGGGCCGTTGGATTATTTGCTTATTATTCACAGTGGATCCCTCGCTTCTCAGATATAAATAATCGGATTTTCCCTCTTGATATCGAAACTCGAAATGCTTTTGACAAACTGAAAGACGACTTAGAACGTGCAGTCGTTGTGGTAGTTGATCCGAAAGCACCCCTTGTTGTTGAAACAGATGCTTCAGATGTCTCAATTGCAGCTACATTAAACCAGAATGGTAAACCTGTCGCCTTCTTTTCTCGAAGCCTCTCTCGAAGTGAGAAACATCATTCATCGGTTGAGAAAGAAGCCTATGCCGTGGTTGAAGCAATTCGTAAGTGGAAGCATTACCTTCTCGGAAATCACTTCAAACTTGTCACTGATCAACGTTCAGTAGCATTCATGTTTGACAAGATTCATAAAGGCAAAATCAAGAACGATAAAATAATGCGTTGGAGAATTGAGCTATCCCCTTATCAATATGACATCATTTATCGTCCTGGAAGGGATAATCAAGCTGCTGATACATTTTCCCGTAGTTTCTGCGGTTCCTTGCAGTCAGTGTGCGACTTGAAATTTCTCCATGACTCTATGTGCCATCCTGGAGTTGTCCGAATGATGCATTTTGTACGCTCGAGAAACCTTCCATTCTCCCTTGACGAGGTGCGCAATGTAACCAGTAAATGCGTGACATGCTGTGAGTTAAAGCCTCAATTTTACAATCCCTCTAATTTCAAACTCATAAAAGCAACCCAACCTTTTGAAAGGTTAAGCATCGACTTTAAAGGACCTCTACCGTCAGCTAGCCGCAATCACTATCTGCTCACGCTGATCGATGAATATTCTCGATTCCCCTTTGCATTCGCCTGCCCCGACATGTCGTCTCAAACGGTAATGAATTGCCTTTGCCAACTGTTTTCGATTTTCGGTATGCCTTCTTACATACATACCGACAGAGGCGCTGCTTTCATGTCTACCGAATTACGGGCATTTCTTCTGGAGAAAGGCGTAGCAACCAGTCGTACTACCTCATACAATCCTCAAGCCAATGGGCAGGTCGAGCGCCTCAATGGAACACTTTGGCGTGCCATCACTCTAGCATTAAGATCACGGGGCCTACCAACGGCACAATGGGAGTCTGTTCTACTCGACGCCTTGCATTCCATCAGATCTTTGCTCTGTACTGCAACGAACGCCACGCCACACGAACGACTGTTTACCTATAACCGAAGATCGACATCTGGGACAACTCTTCCTACTTGGCTCACTGTACCAGGACCAGTACTTCTCCGGCGGAGTGTTCGTCAGTCCAAATTCGATCCCCTGGTTGAAGAGGTGGAGCTATTGAATTGTAACCCGCAATTCGCTCACGTTCGCTTCGGTAATGGACGTGAAGATACAGTTGCTCTTCATCATCTGGCACCCAAAGGCGAAGATATAGATCAAGTTGAAAATTCAATACCGGAGGGCGACGCAATTCCTGAGCAACAAGTAAATGGGGATGCGACCACTGATCCTAATATTCTTCGTGAAGAAAATACAACTGAAACGAACAACGGGCGTATTCTTTTGGAAAAACAACAACGTGTACGGCCTTACAATTTGCGTACCAGAGAAGCGTGACATAATGGCTCATTCCTTTTCAAGCCGCAGTGAATGTTGTGAACTTTTCTTATAATACGTATCTAGTCATATTCATATCTCTACCGCTATTAACACTCTTTTTTCCCTTTATATGTTTAAGCCATTCCGGCTTCATTGTAAAATGAATAAAGCCTAAATTCTTGGTTCATTCGTCTTTTCAAGATTCAAGCATCACTCATCGTTCTAAGACTCAATCACCTTCGTAACACTAGTTACCTGATTTCATTTCATTTGTAGGCCAGTCTCGTCCCTTTTATGTTCATCAGAGTACTCATATTAACTGGCAGGACAATGAATGCATAGATTTGGAAGAGGCGATAGCCACTGTAATAGAAACGAAGAAATTTTGGTATATCATCTAACTTCTGTTTGGAAGGCTAACTGAAGCATACTGTGGTGAGAGCTGACTGTTAGTAAAAATTGGTGGACAGTAATTTACATCAATGTTTATGTTCCCAATATTGCGTAGGCGGATACACTTAACATAAAGATGACCTGACATTCAAGAAACAGCCACAAAGATATGCAAAATTAACTTTCTGTGAGAAACAACCAACCAGAGGACTGTGTTTTTCTGCTAACAGTAATCTACAATATGTACATGAAAATCTATAAATAAGTGTTGATTTCCATAATAAACGATCTGTTGCCTGGCCCTTGTCTTCTGTTGTTACATGCTGTATGCCGATTACGATAGTCACACAATCTTGAAGAGTATGAACATTCTGATTGCTAGGACATGATTAAGGAACATCTAAGTTATAACACAATAAATAATGCATAGTTCGATACGACAGTCACGCAAGAGTCATTCAAATCTAAAGAACGTCATATTGATGCGAGTCAGCACATTCACGAAGAACATGAATGTACTCTAATAAGTAATGTTGTTTTGACATTATATTACTTCGAAATTCAATAATCGCAACCATAAGGTTTCTTTCACTTAGCTGTCGTTACCTACTGAGAAAATTTTTCTCGATAGCATTATAAGTGTTGATCCATTTTATTACAATAACAGGTGCATCTTATAAACAATTTCGAAAGTTTTGTGCACATATCTGTGTGTATGCTTCACGAATTTTCCTGTATTCACCAATTGTTGCAGCCAAAATTTAAGAGAATTATTCCAGAGCGAATCATTTTAAGTAGAGTTTGCCTCAAATCGTCGAAGATTTTCACAAAACTGATTTGTCATTTATAGGTGACAGCAGTAGTAGTAACCTAGATGTTACATCTCTTTAAAAAGAAATAATCCAAATGCTGAAAAAATAAGGCTTATCTTTACAAGCAAGGTATTAACACTTTTCTTTCTGAAAGCATGTTTCAGGCTTAAAATTAGGAAAGCGAATAAGGAAAAGTGTTAAGTTACCTCAAATCATCCAACAAGTCAGTTTCTGTAGCATGTTTATTCTGAAGCTTAGCGTAGTGTTCATTGTGAATATTCTTCAGTTGATTGAGTGGTTTCATTGGCTGTGTAAAATGTAAGAAAAATAATTGATACACAGTTTACTACAATCTTTAGTAGAAACTGAAATGATTTGTTTTCGTATTTGCTACGTGTTTGAGGAGCAGTTAACTTAAAATGAATGGATTGTGAAAACCAAAATTTATTCAGCAAACTCAAATTACTGAAAGCATAGAAGTAAGAGTTTACAAGAGCAAATGTTTGTAAAGTGTCAGTAACGAAATACACCATAAGCATTACACTAGGATAGTGTGTTTCAGTCCCGAAAATGACTGTCAAAAAATGTGCTTGCTTTCAAATAGATCAGATGACCTAGTTAGTACGCAATTCATATTCTATTTGCATTTCACTCACTACCATACAACAAAATAAAAATATATAATCGTTTCTTTATTATTACTATTAGCCAACCACTCACAGAGTAGGTATAAATTGTAGTTGTGCTTTAAGAATTTATACAAGCAAATATTTTGTGCAATATAAGACGTATTGTCACAACACAGCACTAGTGTTTATTTCATATGCACAAACGACAACAAATATGGAAGTGGTAGAAAAGCATTACACGTACTTGTAGAGCATTTTTAAAAAAATTAAATAGAGTGGCATAACAGAAACATCATAATTCTTTGACTCATAGAAGCTCCCTTAACAATCAGAGATAATATTTTCAACTATAAAGCACGAAACTCTGTGTACCTTTGTAAAAATGCGAGCTGTATTAATCAAAATCTGAATACATCTATGCGAGATATATGATCACACTTTAAAAATATCAAGAAGTCACAGTAGCATTACTGTGGAAGAAATTAATTTAAATGTAAAACTTCCAATATTATTATCGATTCTGCTATACATATAGAGAAAATAGAGAGGTACACAATAAAATTAAATTTTTCAAGCAACCTAGCTGAGAGATTGTGCATGAAATATGTTTACTTAAAGAAGGCCTTGTGTAAAAAGAGAGCAAACCTCAAACTTTAACATTTATTCCATCTTATATTATTTGGTTTCGCGAATATGTCGCTTAAAATGCTAAGTATGAGAAAGTTTGAGAAGCTACTGCACACATACTACTTTGGAGAATTTTTCCATGTATACGGAATCATAAAAATAATATTTTCACACAAAACAAATTCAATTTCTTTTGTATGTGTGTTGACTGGTCATCAAAAGTCATTACCTTACGTCCTGCATAATTCATTGTTCGACCTTCACGAAACTGTATTCACCCACTTAATGAGAGCACAACATAGTAGCATGGACAAACAAAATACTATAAGGAAAACAATAAAAACGAATGCTACATTTTATGAGTGTTAATTTGCATTCAATATCTGTAAGTCTACCATTAATAATATGCATGAATAATCATAGTTTATCAACACCTATTATCAGTTTAGTGAGCTTGTAAGTGTCATGATTTTTTGGTCCCATTAATTATTGTTTGAAATAGCCCTACATTTTCGGGATATTTCACCACAGACCCTTACTTTTGCAAGCTTTCTTGAAGAAATCAAATGAGTTCCACCAATTCGTTTCAGAATGTGGGTTTGTGCCATGGTAATATTTCAGTTGGAATACTCGAATTTCGTTTCGCTATGCAATCATTGGTTAGGCAGGAGAATACTCCAGAGGAAGTGGTGGTAGTCGGGTTGAGGGAGATTCTATAAAATGAAAAGAACAGACCTAACACATTGAAGCTAGAGCCAAACATTTTGCGTGAGGCAGAAAACAATATGACGACGCGTGCACCAATGGTGATGATGTTGATAATAGAAAAAAAATGTAAAGAAATGGTGCAGTGTATAAAAAGTAGGTCGAATATTTGCTCCCTGCAGCTAGTACGCTTCTCCTGTAAATGCGTAGAAATCTAACGATCTTCTCTTGAAGTCGTCGGTTGAAAAACTGGTTTCCACTTGTAGAAGTGGTGAATTCTTGCATGATACTTGGAAAAAATACTCTCTAGCATTCGAATTAGCTAACGATGTGTAGAGATGTTAAAGTATACTGGGAGGTCGTTGCAACGCATTCACCACATTTTCTCGAAAGGATGCTATTCCAAATGAAAACATTTGTTAACCCGGTTTATACCCTAGGCAGGGTTTCGGCAAGGTTAAATATCGTTGTTAGATATGCCATCATTGTGAATAAAATGGTTGATAAAAAGGCAGCCACAGATGACTACAATATCTGCCTAATCATTCCATAATTATTTACCACCCAGAAACAGGCTGTGATTACTAAAGTTATGGTCACTAACTTGAGACTTCTGAAATTTCGCTTCTCTGACAACAAACTGTGTGCATGAAATACGATTTCGACTCCTTGATTCAGACTGCACTTCAGATTTGAATGTGACCTACGCATATATTTGAGTGAAGTAGACAGTATAAAGTCATTCAGACCATGAATTAATTCTGAAATGTCACCATGACCATAATCGAAGTGTTCTTAATTGATGGGTAATTCCTACATAAGCGACAATGAAAAGTTAGGCTACTTCACACGTGAGTGACGAGATACTTGTGGATAGTCTCACGAGGCATACTTTTCGGCGGTAAAATTGCTATAGACATGTTTCAAATCAAATAATGAAAGCATCTGATGGCAGACGGGAAACCCACCAGTCACTTCCATCATCGAAGTCATAAAAGCATGTAAGACAAGATCAGCTGAATGGCTGAATGAGTTTCAACATAGAACCTTGCCTAAGAGTCTGTCTGCTCTAGTTGTCATAGTACGTGACCCACAAACAGAATGACAAAATACAAGAAAGAGATTCAAAAGTACTATAATAGGCGGAACGTTGGAAAAGAAATAATAGTAATGTGGAGAAAACATGACGATCCTGTGCTAATTATAGAAAGTAAACGCATTTGTATCAATGAGAACGACCTTTGGCCTTATCTTCGACAGTGGGAGGCCACCGGTACCTAGCAACCCTAGGACACCAACCAGTCAGTCCACACATCCCTAGGTGGCTCAGAGCTCAGTGTCCCCTTGGACGAAGTCTGGTTTGGGTTTGACCACCCATAAATCTTTTCCAACGTAGTATTACGCCGGCTAACATCGGAATTATCTCAAGTCTTGTCCTGGACATCTCAGTTGATGTAAGTTGTAAACTTCATTTACCTACATCTGCTCTTAAGGCAACACTGCACCTGGCCTCAATATAAATCACTATATTGAATCACTCACTACGAAGATAGAACGACAGGTGGCTTTGCCATATCCCCCACTTCTAGTGACCGGATTTGGCAGCCATAGATCAGGTTTAGCCCAGAATTGTCACCAATATCTACAAAGTTGGCGGGCAAATCCGTCATATTCCATGGGAAAAGTAACTGCCATGACGTATCCACATATATAGTTTGCTGATGTGGCAGACTCAGGGGGTTCCCAGGATGATCCTGCAGAGGATCAAAGACGTTCTTCTACTTAGTTGAATCCGGGTTCTTTTACCATCAACGGTCAATTTGTTAAAAACTGCAGATCGAATCACATACTTTTCAATTTTTCAACAGTCACAAATTTTATATTCTTTCGTTAGCTGAGGCGGTGCTAAGAGCAGCTTTTCCACCAGGTAGATGGACCATTCCAAGGAGTCAGCAGATTTTGTGGCTAGCGCTTAGATCTAGCAGGAATAATAGCCACGTATTAGAGTTATATCTGGTCGAAACCAACTTGAAATTAGTTCGAAGTCACTCACTTAGCTAAACCAACTTCCTTCCGTCAATCTAATTTGGCTATCCCAACACTTATCAGGCCAGTCAACCCAGTTGATTCAATATACATTATGAGGTAGGTCAGTGACCCAAAACATTCGAAACTCAACTTCAGACCGAATACCTTACCACGTTTACTACTTTTAATCTTTTTAATCACCGCTGTCTTAATTCGGTATGATCTCTTCAAGAGTACCGTGCGTCTGCACATACAAGTGTCACTGTCGGTGGCATTATTCGGTGGATTGAAGAGGGACCAAACACAGATTCGTCAAGGTGGTGAAGGAATTTTCTTCAAATGGTGGATTGCAAACACCTATTTCTGTTGCAGGAACCGCAGAATATGGTTGAAATCGAATTCATGATTGTTTCTCAACTTTTATGTGGCGTTTTGATCGCTAAAAGTTAATGGAATGTATAGATACAAGCTAAGATTAGTGTTCACAACTTGGAAGAAACTACAATATATTTTACGATCACTTACAACATCCACTGTTTTCTACTAAAATTTTAAAATGAGTTAAATGCCTACTGCAACATTCTTGTAATTTGGTGGATTTTAATACCGTCCTCGTGATCAGGTACATAAGGACATCTGAGCTGTACGTCATTTTGTAACAACAGAAGACAATGGCCAGGCAACAGATCGTTTTATTACGAAAATCAACGCGTATTTATATATATATTATGTACATTAATAAGGCTTATCCAAGCAGAAAAAGGCAGTCTTCTAAATGGTTGTTGCTCGGAAGTTAAGCAGACAAACACAGTCTTATGATTGGTTGTTTTCTATATTTGTCGGAAAGTAGAGCCACTTATCTGCGAATCATATTCGCCCGCGTTTAAGTCCGTCGTGATTGGTTGTTGAATCAGCCTAAATTAATGTCTACCAATCAGCGTCAATTAATGTCTACCAATTGGCTAGCAGCCTGCTTTCACCACACTCGTCCCCCCGTCAAATAGCTTCGTACGCAGACGTTCCGACCTGGGAGCCACATCCTCTAGTTGAGGATTGTTACTGATCGGCTTGTCCCGTTGTACCCATCGTTGGAGCTAACTGGCATTAACTTGTTTCTGTTTGTCACCTCTTCGGATGGTATATACTTGACCCCGTCTTTTTGTGATTGTGTATGGTCCTTCCCACTTTGGAAGGAGTTTCCGTGAACCTGGCCCGCCTCCAACTGTATATCTCCTGTCTCTACACTTCACTTGGTCCCCAACTGCAAAGGTAATGCACTGCGTCCTTTCTTTCATTTGCGACTTCGCGACATCGCTCCGCTGCTTCTGCATTACATTCTTGACTGCCTCTTTCCGCTCCGACTTTAATTTCGTCGTACTCCACTTTTGATGAAGGGACCAGTTCTCGTTGTGTATCGGTAATCGTGGATTTCTACCGTTCATCAGTTGAAAGGGTGACTTCTTCGTTGCTTTCTGAGTGATAGCACGATATGTTAGTAAAATCAGTGGAAGCTCCGTTTCCCAGTTCTCGCCCTTCGAGACCAGCCACTCCTTCAGTGTACGGTTGTTTCTCTCCGTTAGGCCATTCGTTTGTGGATGATATGAGGTCGTTCTGATCCTCTTGATGCCCAGCTGTTGCAAGCGGGAAGTAAATTCTTCACTCTCAAAACAGGGACCTTGGTCTGTCAGTATTGTCTTTGGTACGCCGTGGTCTGCAACGATGTGTCTAACGACTGCGTTTGCCACGGTATTTGCACGTTGGTCTGGGATCGCTACGGCGTCTACTCATCGCGTCCCGTGTTCCGTCATCACCAAGAGGTACCGATTACCATTGGATGTCTGAGGAAATGGACCGATGACATCCATGGACCACAAGTCACCTATCGCGGTAACTGGAATCGACTGAAGTGGTGGTCGTATGCACCGGTCGCCTTTCATTAGCTGGCACCGTTGACATCCAAGTACGTATCTTGCTACGTCTTATCTCATACCTGGCCAGTACATGCTTTGTCTTAGGAGGTCAGTTGTTCTGGCCACGCCTGTATGTGCTAGCTGGTGACATTCTTCTATCATGTCGTGGCGCGACGATTGAGGTATGACAGCCAGCCAGCTTCCGTCGTTCTCTCGCCAGGTCAGAGTCCCGTAGGGATTCACTCTTAGTCGATCTCTCCGCCTGAGTAGTGTGGTTAGCTCCTTACTCGCTGCAGCTTGATCTACTTCGATCCCGTTGGTGATCACCTGTATTACTGTATTCAGCGTTTCGTCCAACCTTTGCCTGTGTGCAAGTTGTAGTGGGTATTGTTCTACAGCACGCACTCCGTACGCGACCTCGTGCAACTCAGACTCATCTTCAGGTCTCGATAACAAATCTGCCAAGACATTTTCACATCCAGGAACGTGTGAGATCGTAAAGTCGTACTCCTGAAGACGCAACATCCACCGTGACAATTTCCCCCATGGGTCTTTCGCTGTCTTCAAAAATTGTAGCGGCTTATGATCAGTTTCGATGTGGAACCGCCGGCCGAGTAAATAAGGTCTCCATTTGTCGACTGCCCATACC